CAAAACAAATTCTTTGAAGTCATTCACTGCGGGCACATTTCTATTTTCATTAGATGTGGATGTTGCATTACGAAAATGTTTATTCCGTTTCACAGAACTGCAACAAATAAATGCAAAGTCAGGATATTCATCTAAACAATTTTTATTTGGCTAGATATTTTAGGATACTTAACAAAAATGTAAAACAAGAGCAACCAACAAATGTAGGAATATGAACCACAAGAGCTGGTGCTGAAGACAGACTCAGGACAGGTGAGCTCCAGATTACTGTCAACATCACCGCCAACATGGAATTTCTTATACTTAGAAAAATTATTTATTTCATGCAGGGGTACACACCAAGTTGTCACCAGTGACACTATACAGTATCTCCTTAAATTCAACCCTGAGCCTCCAATATGAAAGCAGGCTAAAGTGAGAGTCTTAAAAAGTGTTCCTTCCAATATGAAATTCACATTTCACATTCTGAACCGTAAATTCTTCCTCTAGAGACTTGTTAGCAAAACATGTATTTTAAGAAATATGACTTTAAAAAGGAGAAAGTTGGGTTTCATAAATAAATGAGAAATACTTCTAGGTATGAACATATTTTTAGCTTACATTTGACATCAATACTGCTTATAGTACATAAAATCTAAAGTCTTTTGTCTGTAGTATTTTCCAGCTGATATCTCATAACAAATATATAACACTAAATTGTGTTAATCAATTCAATCTGTTGATGAGATAGAGTAACAAAAGGAAACTGTCTGCAACTAACAATATATTATCTGGTACAACTTGAATAAACAGGCATTCAAAACCATGGATAACACTAATTTTTAAGTCACTTATTACATTAAGATCATTAAATCCATTTACTTTTTTAAAGATTCTTGAATCCATTAATAATTATAGGCATTACTGTTTGGTTAATGTGTCATCTCCAGCGCCAAGGGATGCCCAAAGAATGAACTGGCAAAGATTTCTCATCTATCAGGGGTCAGGATTTATAATCTTTCTGTATAAATTAAAACAGCACTTCCTGGCAGGGGTTCAAGCTACTTAGTTTCCCATAGTTTTTAATCCAAATTAAAGAAAAAGAACTCTAAACAACATAACATGCCAAAGTTCAAGTAAACCAGCTGCTATTGTATAACAAAATATTTAATCTTCCCCACCTGTTCAAGTTAATGAAAATGAGAAGCTAAAAAAAGGAGGAAAAAACCCTTCTCACCACAAATGCAATTTAAATACAACACTGAGCATGAGAACTCATGGGAATGTTCAATGACTGAGGTTGCTTTAGCTTTATTTATGCTACAAATGAAGTATTGTAAATCTAGTATTTTGTAGTCTTAATTAGTAATTGGACTGAAACACAGTCAAACAAGCTGGTACTTAGATGTGAGGTTTCTTTTTTTTCTTGCTTTCATTTTGATTTAATTTAACCACTATTACAACTTTCGAATTAAGGGTCTAGGCATCCTTAAAAAGTGAATTGCTGTTTTGTAAATTTTTCTAGCCGTTCATTTGCAAAGATGGACAAAACATTCTTCTTCAAGGATTACTTCAGATGAACCTACTTTTTCATATTATCTATAGACCAGCTCATCCATAGCTGCTGTCTTCTCTTGTCTAAAATCCTAAACACCTAAAGGATCTTTTATTTCAGGACAGATTCCTCTCAGTCAAGTGGAACATAATCATGGTATTCCTTCAAGTACTTTAACACCTCCAGAGTATTTGAAATTGCTGAAAGCAATACCTCTAGACAGATACATTAAGAATACCTCTTAATGTATCTGTCTAGATGCTTTCCTTGCCAGAGTGGGTAGACTCTGCTTGATCATCATCATCACTCAAATAGAAAGTTTTATTTGTTCAAAGAATGCATGCTGTATAGAAAGAGCTGCAATTCAGGCGTCTCAAATTTGTTCATCATGAAGGATCTTCACAAGAAATGGTCTGAGCAGAACTCATTTCATGTCACTAATTCATAGGTAAATTTTCATTCCCATAAAAGGGCAGGGACCCTGTGCAGCTGATAATTTGTGACTGAAACTGTGATTTACTTCCTTGCTATATTTTGAGGATTAGGGAGTTATAAACAATATTATTAGCACTGCTGTTCTCCATTCCTGCTTGATGTATTTTGGTACCAGAAGCGATCCTTATCGTTGTGACAAATTTTTATGCAACTTAAATCAACACTTGGTATCCTCCTATTTCTCTAGAAGCTCCAAATAGGAAATAAAATAATTTAGATTAATTTAATTACTGCAGGCACTGTAGGAATGTGGCATTTCAGATCCCCAGATTACAGTTCATTAATGATTTTTTTTCATGAAAACTGCAGGAAGAACAGAAGTGCTATACTTATACTACTCACAAAGAGTTTTAGACAAATTTGAACTTGAAAAAAAAAGTGGTTTATTGTTAGTAGATATGCAGAAGTGTCAGAATAAAATACATCAATCGTAAACTTGAGAAAGGAGGAACTGGAAAATAAGCGGCATGTGCTCCCAAAGAAATCATTCTGTTTCATTCCATTTTGAAAACAAATTTTTTATATAATTCTTTAAAAAAAAGGCTCACCTTACTGATTTGGACATTTTCATTTTCTTCAGGGGCTTGTCCTCCTGAAAGCTGTAGTCAAGAGAACGTTTTCCCCGAAAGTGATACGAAAATGCATTAAACTGTCCTCTGGTTCTACAGTCTGAAAACAGACAAGAAATTACACATAAACTACAGCATATTTTAGCAATTACAGTATTAATATGGTTTGGCAGTGTTTTCTGAATTGGTAAAGACAAGTCATACATTCAGTCTGATCCCTCTGGAACTGGTTGATGGCAGATGAATCTATCTCTGTGATAGAATATTTAAGCTAGTTAGATGCAGAGAATGTGATTACCCACAGACCATATTTTTAGTTTGAAACAAAGGAATAAATACAATTTTAACAAACCCATATAGTGCTACTTTAACTATTCTTTTCACTTCTTAAATTTTCACTCTCTTGGCTTTTAAGTATTTTCTGGGCAAATAGGGCAGCTACATTATGAAGAAAAACAATGACAGAAAAAAACACTCTGTGGGTACCTCATCTATCCCAGACACCATTATTTGTTATTTTTGCCATCTGAAAGAGAATTTTCAATTTAATTCCAAGTTTTCAGACATGCTCTATAGGTTGATGAATCTTATTTCCAAATCTGAGGAATCTGAATGTATCACCAGACCCTAAAACTCCTTCCACCACAGAGCAAAAATCTCAAGCCTGAAAATGAGCTATGACAGAAATAATGTCCTAAGATCCGAAGAGGAGGTCTTGGCAAGATGAAGTATGTCTTTCTTCCAGTTCACTTTATTTAGCCTTTCAAACACGGTGAGTATTTGGAAAGAGTCCCATTTAAGAAAGAAAAGGAAAACAAAGTAAAACTGCAACAGCACTTGATAGAGGAGACAATGAGAAAATAGAAATTTTCTCATTTCTGTTCACAGAAGCTTTAAAGCTAAAAGTTATAATGGGCCAAGCTGAAGCAGGAACAAACTACATGATCAACTGCTCGAAGCAGAATCTGCTAAAACCAAAGGGAAAGCCTAAATACAGGATGCCATAGACATTTCTCAGCTAAGTCTGGTATTAGCAGAATGAGTCATGAAAGCAACTGAACATGGGAAGGAGTAATTTTCCATAATGTTTCTCTTAATTTACACCAAAACAAATTAAATCAGAAATTCAGTAACATTTATAAAGTATTTTTCTGGAATTTAGATTGAACACCCAAAGTATTAATGCAAATTACTGCAAAAGTTTCAAGTCTATAAACACTGCTGAAATGAGCAAGTAGAGAAACAAATGGAAGGTTGCTCTGATTACACAAAATTAGGTATCTTGGACTACTTTTAATTGTGTTGAATTTTTATGTATATTAAAATATTATAATTACTCTGTTAGGAAAAACTTAAGTTTGTCTTAGTGGCATAATAACTAAGACACAAAAAAAGATGACTGAACAAAAAAAAAAAATTCAGATCAAAACCAGTATCTACAGATCGTTCTGGAACACAAGTTATCCACAATTCATTCCCCTTCCCTGTTACTTCCTTGCCGTTTGTCCCATTCTTTAATAAATGCATTACTTTCCTCCTATAACAACAGCACCCACCAAAGAACTACATGCTATTTGCTGCCAACATATTGTTCATTCTTCTTGTGTGTTCTGCTGTTTCCCACATAACCTCTTTGCTGTCCACTCAGAAAGTAAACTCGTTCAGATGGGAACAGACCCATATGTCTGTAAGAAGCTCGGCATGAAGGCATTTTTGAACACCCTTAGACACTTCTATATTTAGTATGGTGAGAAAAAGGATCATACTGAAGGGTTCCTGAAGAAAGAACTAATTTTGGTCAGAGGAATTTTTTTTTTCTCAAAGCAATGTGCTGCTTAACATCTTCCCGAGTATCACAAAATCTCTGGTTTCTCTTAGAAGCAATATGTGAAAGGTTTCTGCTATGCTTTGGTAAGTAACTGCTATAGTCATCTTACATAATACAGATTTTTGGGGTTTTTTTTGTACAATAACACAATGGCCCATTGTTTTTTTCATTCTTAGGTTGTTTCTTAGAAACAAAGGCCTGAAATCTTGGGAAGGTTTTATCACCCTAGACTGGTAAATATGAGAACCATATGTTCAGTGACAGCTTTAAGTACACAGATCTGATTTTCTGAGTTTTTTAGAACTCAAATATGCCAACTTGCCAAATTACCAGCTCATGTTCGTTTGTCTTTCAGGTACAACAGGGAGAAATGTCACTGCTGAGAAGTGCAGGACAAAATGCATCAGCTTTCAGACAGCATGAGTCAAGAAATTTCTTCTCTCTCCTTTTTTTTTTTCACTTTTATTCTTAATGAAGAATATCTTAGCAGTAAATAAGAAAAAATAAGCCTGAAATTCTGCTTTCCCCCCCCCCCATCTTATCTAATATGCCCCCAGATTAGCTATGCCCATTCCATTTAACTTTCTGCAGAAAAAGTGAATGTTTAAAAGTGGCCTAAGAATTATTTTTCTCTGCAGACAATTCTTTCTTCCAGAAGTTAGCTACTGTTACACTGCAAGTATCAAGCTGATCCATTTACAGAATCACACATAATCACAGAATAATTTATGTTGGAAAAGACCCCCTGATATCTTCAGATGCGACCTTTGACCAAATATCACCTTGTCAACTAGACCATGGCACTCAATACCATATCCAGTCATTTCTTGAACATTTCAAGGGATGATGACCCTCCCACTACCTCTCTGGGCAGCCTGTTCCAACGTATATTCCTTTCCATAAAAAAACTGGCATTTCTGTTTGTATATGCAAGCCATGTCCACATCTTTAGAAAATCCTGCTTCCCACAAGGTTTTAAAAATGCAACTATTACATAAACTGGATAACAAAAAACCTGACAGAGAATTATAGTGCAGTCTTGATTCTCTATGAATCACTCCTCAAAATCTAGGCCATGGAGAATTAATCTAACAGTAGATTAAAACAAAACAACTTGAAAGACTGAGGAAATGTGAAGCAAAGCACATATATCTATTTGATACTAGTTTGATTCTCCAAGATTTATTGTAGTGAATTAGGTTGTTTTTACTGTAAGCATTCATATTAAGAACTTGTAGACATGCCAGTGGGACCAGTAAAAGGGTGGAGAAACACTAAAAATATCTGATGTAAAATGATTTTTTTAGTAGATGTTTTCACAAAGCAGCTACCTAAAAATTGCACAACATAGAAAAGCAACTTTTCATACAAAATGAAGCCCTAACTCAAAATAGCTGGGTTTGTTATTGCTAAAATGGGCCACAACCCTTCACATTGCACAGCATATCTTCATTTCTTCTGTTGAATAAGACTTTCTAACAAAAGAGAAATTAAACATCACCAAAAATGTAAGGTGGTGGTCTGAAATCCAACACTAATCTGCTCAGATCAGAGCAGATGTATTTTGTAAAAAGATTAGTCAACCATCTGAAAAGGAAAATGCACAGAAGGTAGAAGATGAAGTAACAACTCAGATTGTCATCTGCCAGCTGATATACTGGGGAATTTTAAGAATAAAGATATTTCCTGTAGTTTATCTCAAAGCTCACAGACTGAGCTTCGAGATCAGTCTGCTACCAGAATTAGAAGGTTCAGATGTTGTTGGGAAAGCAAATGTCCAGTTTGGTAATATAAAGCTAATTATAGACTAAAGATATTTAAAATCATATCACGCTTTCATGATCTAAATAGGTCTTGGATGGTCTTCAGGTAGATAAAGGAGAAACATTAAGTTCTTGACACCAAACCAAAGCAAATCCAACCTCTCCAGTTGAGGAGAGTTTGGATTAGTTAGAGGAGTTTAAAGGCAGCTTTTGGAATACAAATCAGTAAGAAAAAGTCATTTCAGACAGACTGAAAATCCATGGAATTTTTTAAAATAAAGACCCTAAGAACTGTCCCACTAGACTGTGAAGTCAACAGTGTCTTAGAAAGGCAGCAAAAGACTACAGGAAAGAAGGAAACCTTCCAGCTGCCTAGATTTGTAGAAATCCCTGAGACACTTCAATTAGGATGCTTTCCTACCCATCTCGATCTTAGAGTCAATGAACACTGACATAAGGTGAGGTTGCAGCCTGACTGTCCTCCAGAGACATCTCTTTATTGCCAGCAGTGGAACTTTGACAGATCTGGCAACTCAGTCAGGAGTTTGAATTTAAACACAATGATTGAAGCCTACTGCTTCCCTGTTGCTCTTTGGAAGGGATAGCAACTACTGGCGTGAAACTCCTGGTAGCAAAGACAAAACAACATCATAACTCAAGTCTCCTTATTTTATGTTTATGAATGTAGAATTGTATTTAATGGATCCTAGATACCTGTGAAAGATAAAATATTTTTGGTTTGGATGAAATACAAATAAAAATACTGATTCTCTTAGTAAAATTTGTAATCATACACTGGGCTATATTAAATACTTCCACTCAAAGATAAAAAGGATGATGTCCTTATAATTATGGACCCTGGAACTTAATTTTGGTAGCCTGGCATAGACTGAATTGTTACTAAGCTAACAGACACTGTCTTTAAATGTAAATTTAAATGTTAAAAGGTAATTTGAACATAGCAAGCAAAAATATGTGACTCGACCAAAGCGTACAAGTTCTGGGTAGAGACAAAACCTTTTCAGACATAAATCACATAATTTTGGTATTTTGAGAGTTCTTGGTAACAATATCCTTTGTCAAAAAAGAACTTCCAGTCTCACACAGTGATTTCTATTAACATTTTAAAGTGTTATTTCCACTATATTCCACAGAATTTAGTGCTTTGCCCAGTGCTGTTTAGTATTCTCATTGAAGATTAAAGGATATAATGACAAGTGCATAGTAAGAGATTAATGTTGTCAGTAGAGAAGCAATAGATAGCATAATTGTTCCTCTGGTCCTAAAACACAAGGGTTCATAAATATAGGTCTAATCTACTGAAAGCATGCAGATTAAGAATGTGAATTGACTCTTCTAATGAAATTCAGTGGAATTTAAATGTTTGATCATAATTTGTATAAGGCTGTATTCCTGAATTAAACAAAGAAAAAGAGCAATATCTGACAGAGGAGATAGGCTGTTCACTAACTGAGAAATAGTTAAGAAAAACCTTTTCAAATCAGTTTACACTTGTAAGGATGACTTGCATCTTATCTGAATCACTTCCTCCAGGGTCACTGTCCATTGTCCTCCTGGGTCCATGTGAAACCTCATGGGTTTTGACATAAAACAAAAGGTTAATGAAATTTTTTACGTCAACTTACAAAAATCCCCCACAAAACAAAAGAAAGCCAAAAAGTGTGTAACTTTTAAAGATTTGCATTTGACTAATCATGAAAGCATACACTGATTACTTTAAAAAAAATCAAAATAAACTTCTTTCACTAGAGAGACTGAAATAAAGCACCAGAAGAAGTTTCTTGTTTGGAAAATCTGAAGCTCAAGTGCTCTTTTCACAAAAAAGAGCAGCAGCAAATCCAGCAATTACTCATCATCTCTAACAAGACAAAGAAAGGTAGAAAGACAAAGGAAAACAGACAAAAACTTGTGCACTTCAGTGGAACCCCTACTTTTTGCCATCATAAACTAGTAATTCTGTTGTATGATTTGCCAACTGAAATAGAAAGGTAATCTGTTTTTTTTATCTTATTATAAAGAGGAATAATTCTTTGCTTTGTAAGAAGTAAATACTAGCTTTACTCAAAAAATCTACAAGGCAGATTTTTATGACTAAGAAATTTTTCTATTCTTCATATGGAAAAGTATTTTAACTTTTTACAAAACAGGAAGGACAACAAAACCAGATGTGTTTTTAACTAGGCTGAAACAGCTGAACACATGGGTCACTTATGAAACATACATACAAGTGCAATCAGAAATATTATGTACTTGAAATTTTAACTTAGGATAAGTTTAATTTTAAGATCATTAGAAGCATTTTAAACATGGAGAAGGGTTTAATTTTTTTCCTTTTAAATAAAAAAATAATAAATTTAAATAAACAAACCCCTTTAATGTATTCAACTCAGAGTAAATGCTGTTCCTGAGTGTATGCCCCACCTCAGAGGAGTGGTAGCTATGGAAGGAAAGAAACTTTTTACATCAGTTACTTAAACTGAATCCCACAGAAAATGTCACAGTCATTCATCCATGCAAGAAAATAGTTCAAGCCATGGATACTTCACTTTCTCTTCATTAACCCCTGCAAGGCTTCAGAAGTTCAGAAAAAGGGGATACAAATAGGAAATTTTTCTATAAAACAGTACTTATTTAGCCTTTATTTTTCTTGACAGTTGTCTAACTGTGCTGCATCCAGTGGTATTCTCTGGTAGCAACTTTCTTGAATGAAAATGCAAACTGGGTTGTTGAACACAGGAATACTCTAAAGACTTTCCAAGGATAACATCTGTTCTAAAGGGCTCAGTGATAACATAACATTTAAAGAATCAACACACAATTTCTCAGAACAGCTTTATCTTTTTTATAAATCAATATAAAAAATGCATTTGTGAAACTGTCAAGCTTCATGAACCACGGCAAAGTGAATTTATCCTTAATTGGAAGAATGCACATTATTTATGGTGAAGCATTTAAAGTGTGATAATTGGTTTTCTCCCAACGTTTCTGGCACATGTCAGGGAATTTTTGAAGAGATTCTGGAAGACTTTGTATTAAAATTACAATGTGTCAATAATGTCTAGCTTTTTAGAAACTATTATCATTAATTTGGGAATGGCAAACCTGGTAAACATTGTTTAAAAAGCACCCAAGTAACCTACCAATAAAAATTAGAGTAAGTCCTGAAAGATATTGTACATGGAGAATACTGTACGAGATCTTATGGAAATTTAAAGTTTTTATTTCTGTTAGTTTCACACTGATAACTGACATTTTGAACAGTCTTCTTTTCTTAGAGTGATTTTTTTCTTTAAAGACTTGTTTACTGACTAAGGCAATACAGTAATCAGTTTAAAAGCTAAGCAATGCAGTAACTTTGAAGAGTAAATGTCTATCTACCTTTTTCATTGTTAATGATATCTGAGTTTGTTCTCATGGTACAGTCACATTACAGTCACACAAATGCTTCCTCAGTATCTGTAGCAGACTGAAGAGACATCCTCCATCAGTTTAACTTTTACTTTCTGCATTAAATTCTGAGCTGTACCGCAAAAGAACTTTGTCATTGTGGACAATTATATCTTAGTTATATCTTAATTATATCTTAGTTAAATAGACAAGACACTAGTGGAAGATTGTGACTTCTTTCAAAAATGAAATCCACCAGTTCTTTATATGTGCATTTCTCTCAACAGAATATTGAATATCCTACTCAGCAGTAGTAAACTCAAGAGAACCAGCAGTAGAAAAGATAAAGGACAGAGATCTGGATACCTTTCATCAGCAAATCTACAAGGTATTAGTACTGAAACATATTAGGGAAATGACCAGATTCTAATAATATCAACCAATACTACCCTTATCCTCTGAAATAAGAGCAAGGCTTTTCATACTAGGAATTTGTTTGACAGCAATTTCTCAACAGTCAGAGTTCAAGAGCAAAGTTCCCAAAATTCCTGAATATACTTTTACAGCCTGGGCATGTAATTTGAATTTTGTCCAAAGAAAATGATAATGACATTGTCAAGGAGATCTCAAGAAAGAGGGGTCATTGTCCTCTGAAGCATTTTGTTGTTGATGCTACTGAAAATCATTCTGCATGATCCAGAAGATTCTCTTGGGAATGGATTCTAACTTTGTAACAGTTGCAGAGAATTCTGATGTGATGATGGCTGAAGAGAGGCCATGCAGAAAATCTGTGAGACAGAAGCCAACATACAGGCCACCAAGCAGTGTCCTGTGCTCCATGCAGCTAAACAAATCCTATTTCGGGAGAAAAAAAGCTTATTTTTCAGGAAAAAAGAAATTAACCCACACTTCTAACTGTTGAAGGAGATGGCAATGAACAAGAATATTTATCAGCAAAATAAAGAAAACAAGAAAACTATTATCTACACCTTGCAAAGCTCAAATTGATGCTATTTTTATGAGGTGTTTATTTTATATAGAATATGGAATGATTTCCCACTTAACAGGGGCTATGCTTCAGATTAGAATTTGTAATATCTAATAACAAAACCCCTCAAATAGTAAAATATCTTTTTAAAATAAAGTAGACACTTAACAAACTGCACACACCTCACTGTCCCCAAACCACCTCTATACAGACCTTCACAGCAATCTTGCCACATCCTGAGGTCCAGTTTAGGAATATCTTCACAGCTGCTATATCCATGTGGGAATTCAGCCACCCTAAAGACATCATGTTGTACCCTGGTTATGTTGTCACCATTGTCACACAAAACTCTGGCAAGAGATGTCTGCTTGATCTGAGTGAGCTGAGCAGGAGTGAACACACCCGGGTTTTCATACCATAACCTGTAATCTCACAGAAAAGACAAGTCTGCTAGTGAAAAGAAACAAGTGGCAGTTTTTCAAAGATATTTCAATGATATTCCAATATTTTCAAAGATATGCCAACGATATTTCAATTCATTTCATTTCAGAATGAAATTAAATATCTCATAGATCCTGTTCTTAACATTCCATCAAGGGACTGATACAACTGCAAAAATTTTAGTTCCTGGTGCCACTTCAGCACCAGCTGGAGTCATGCTGACACTCTGAAAGGGATGAAATCTTTAAAAAATTGTTTGATTTCTCTTCTAGTCTCATTTCGATGTCTTGAGTGTCTCTGGACATCTAAAATGGCACCAGATTACCATGTTAAGGGTCCTTTTAAGTAAGATACTTAAATTACCATAATTTATTTCTTTAGGCAACTTTCTTACGGTCATGAAAACATTTTGATGCAATTGCTGAAACTAGAAGAATGGTTAATCTATTTCTAGGTTAATATCAAGATAAGTGAGATGATTTAATTTACTAACAATTTTTTTTCTGTTCAACTATTTTCATGACTATGTTGATTCAGGGACTTTCTCATACGTGCTTAGTTAATTCATTATATTTAAGGAAACACTATGGTTTCAAATAGTTCATTTTTTCATACATAAAGGGCTAAAAACCTGTTATCAATAGCAAATATAAATAATACATTACTATAAAAAGCAAGTTTTACATGGAAAAGAAAATTTCTTAAGTTACTGTCCAGAATTTGAAAACATTCTGCACCATTCTAACACATAGGAACTACTCACTGGGACATTTTTATCTGTCTCACAGAGCTGTATCAATATTGATACTTTCCCCCCCACCTATTTTAAACCAAAACTAACCAAAGGAAAAAAAAAAGGTGGCTTTTTAAACTTTATGAAAAATCAAAAACAGTAGTAAACCTAGAAGAATGGTCAAAAATTTCATTTTACCTATTTAATGTAAAATTTTCATAAAGTATTGGACAGTAGCCAATTAATTTCCAAGTACTACAATCAGATTCTCAAATTTCCATCTTCACATGAAGTTAGGCTCCCTTCAAATATCACTCCTTTTTCATGCACAGACACATCTGCTTTGCATGGTGTTACCAGCTTTCATCCTCTGCCCACTGAAAAGACTTTTCAAAGAAGTAAAAGCTGCTTTCATTATGTGTAATAATATTTTACTATTTGCTGACATGGTCCTTCCAAATATTTGTATTCCTTGGACAGCAGAATCCCCTTTCCTAAATATTCAGTGTTTTTCTATAGTTTCCTAATGTTGTATCAGAAAACAAAACAAAACAAAACAGGAAAAGGTGCTTTTACTGAAAAAATGCAAACATATATAAACATAAAGCAGTATAGATATTCTGTTGTGTCACAAATAGGTAGTTGTCATTAGTAACCTGGAGCTCATACTGTATATATTTCTTCCCCCTTTACTCTCTCTGCTTCCAGGCATGAGAGTTCTATGATTCACAGCTTTATTTTTTAACATATTTTATATAACAAAGTTTGGGGGTTCTTTTAAAACAGCATAGAAAAAGGTTTGGGTTATTGACTACAAAAATAAAAAGCCTTTATAATATTCTAAGTAGTAGTTTAATAACTTGATTCAATAAAATAACATTAAATAAAAATAATCAAATCTAATTTCCTAATTCTTCCTGTTTTCCTTTCATTAGGATTCAATGAATCAGTCTAAGTCTATTTACTCTTATGCCATGAAAAGAATAGGATTCTAGGTCATAAATTATGTTAAAATGAGGGAAACATTGATTTTCAGATGCTGAACAAATGTGCTGAAAGTGTCCAAAGGAGATCAGGCTGCTGTGACAAGAGAAATTATTTTTCTCTCATTTCAGGTATTCTAAAAACTGAAAAGGAGAAATTGCTGGCAATGTGCATATATTTAAAGTATTTTTACTTTAAATAATTATAATTTAAAGTAATTGCAAAACAATTATCTAATTGGGCTCTTTGTATTAACCTGTCTGTTTTTAATAGTTATTTGGTACATAGATTGCTTGTATTATAGCATGAATAGAGGTTATATATACAGAGTGATTCTGTTCCAACCTATGTTTAAGTAACAGCCACAATTTCTTTGCCAATAAAATAACACAATAACAATAAGAGAAGCATCATGCACTTTTTCTAACAGGTAAGTGGCTTGAATATCTGGCAGAAGGAAGCTCAACATGTGTTGACTGTTATGGTTTTGGGGTCAGTATGACATTCACTACAAAGAGTAATAGAATTAATAAAGAATCATGGCTTCTAGCAATGTTTTAAACATATATTCTTCATGTTTTCAGTTGTATTTTAAAATCATAAATGAAGATAAAATGGAGTTTGTTTTGGAAAAGTGACATTGAAACTCTTATTAAGCATCCTTAAGTTAAAATTCATTTTGGTTTCCATGGTATTTTAACGTACCTGTCTCCATCCCGAATACGCCTGAACTGTGTGCTTAACAGACACATCAAGGTCGGCCCCAGTCGACTCCCTGGAACCAAGTCTTCCACCATTAGAGCAGGAAAGAGATCTATGTTCAGTGGGGAGCCATACAACCTATAAATTGAAAAATACAAATCCTGAATAACAAATATTTCATATTTACAAAATAATCAGTACATAATGAAGCCAAGAGATACAAACAACTCACAGGAAGAAATGTAGCGATAGCACTACATCTTTTGTGAACAAGCTGTGAGTGTATACACAGGAAATCCTGCAATGCAGGTTGTAAACACCATGTGGGTCTTACTGTCGAGTCTGCAATTTTTTTTTCTCCTAGCAGTTTTCTTCCGATTTCTTAGAATTGTTTCTCTTTTTGTAGCTTCTCTTTCTTGTGCCTCTGTACACCCTTTTTATATTGCTATAGCTGAGACTAACTCGCTATTGTTTTTAATTTTAAGCAAATAAGCTAGGCATAGCAGGTAGATGTAGACTTAATTTCAAACACTGACTCTCTAAAGAAGAACTGATTACTGGTAGTGAAGGATGTCCACATGACAGTACAGTGGACAACACTGACATTTGTTTCACTGTACAGAATTAATAGATTTGAACATCTAAATACTTGCGTGAAGCTGGCATTTAATATGACCTTACACTGAAATAGCATTCATATTTAACAGCATTTACAAAACTAGGCATTTCAAATTGATAATTTCATGAACACATGCAGTATATATTACTGCATATATACTGTATATACTCTTTCTGTTCATAGAGATGCAGAAGTAGAGAAATTATCTGAATGTGGAAATTGTTAACATCTATTTTCTGGTGCTGATGGAAGTTTCTTAAAAATCCCATTAAGTCTTAGCAAGTATCTTTTTCTAGATAAGACATTCAGATACCATTTTTGCATGCACATTTAGATAATTGACTTTTTCTTCACCTCAGGCTCACCTGCTAAGTTTCTCCCTGATTTCAGGATTCTTAATTTCATTTTTCAGATCTTCAAAAGTCTGAGCTGAAGAAAGATTACAGTAAACTCTAAAATCATGGTAGGGAGGAATTCCATGATCTCTGCCTCTCTGAATATTCATAGCTGCCAGATCTAAAGCCACAGTACGTGCCATGGAGAAGAGTCTTTCTGTTAATTCTGTATTGAGTAATTGTGAGGGGACACGCATCTTACCAGCAACACCAAAAAATCCCCTTAGAAGTGGATCAATGCCTCCTTCATTTACAATCCGAAATGGAGAGAAGAATGCCTTGTGAAGAGGTAGATGGCCTTGTGGAATAGGTTCAAAGTTTTCATCCAGTCGATACAGAAAAGGATTAATGAGTGTGTGACCAAACCTAAAAGCGGCAGTTGCAAACTCATTAGTTATGCCAGAATTAACACTGGGATCATAACCCTTATATTCGCCAAGCATCTTCATGCCTACCTCTCCAAAGATCTTAGGGAGCCAGTGGCTAAATGTTATGTGTTGCATTTCTGCACCAACAATTTTGCGTGTTTCATGATATATTGTGTCACCATCCCAGTGAGGATTGAGCTTCAGTAGCTCTGTGGCAATTCTGTTGTGCTCTCTAAACCAAAGTGTGTGGATGCTGGTAAGACCCAGCTGTTCATTAGAGCGCTGATCACCAGCTAAAAAGCAGGGTATTGGGCTCTCATTTTCATCTCTCATGCATTCTGTTGGTGGGCCAGTGGCAAATGGAAGAAGGGGCTTGCCAGATCTCTGTACAATGCCCTGCCTCAGAAGACCCCTTTGACTTGCCAAGTCTCTGATTTCTAGTGCTTCATGGTCCGAACTGCCGTACACATTGGAGGCATCAATGTATGAGGTAAGCTGGTTGATCTGCTCTCGTGGGTACACAGAATTCATCAGCAGAGATGTCATGCCACTTCCACAAACTGGGCTGGAGCGTACAAAAAACATGCAGCGTGCACCATTTCTAACTCTGGGATCGTTTGGTGGTATCATGATTGAAAAGCATGGAGGATCATTTGTACAAACAGAACTGCAATGCTGACCATCTGAAAACCTGGCCTCGCTTAGTGCAGCCACGGTGAGGTCAAGGTCATGGTCAAGAAACTGGCCCCACTGCATGAGCATGTGAGTGTACTGGTCGTCAGGAGTTACGGTTTCCGTGCCGATCAGAGTAGTTGAAACCAAGCGAGGCATTGGGAGCGCGTAGCCATTAGAGAGTCTCCTGGGTTCAATTCCCCGAGGCAAATTAAATCCATTTTCATAGACTGACTTCAACAGACGTTCAAAAGCTGTCAGAGAAGCACCCCACATGGGATGCTGAAGGTTGTTGCATGTTCCATCGTGTGTCCTGTACTTCTGGTGGAAGCACATATCGGAGCAGTTGTTCACTCGTCGATGGGCTGTACAGCCTGAGAGATTGGCTATCAGATTCAAGTACTGTGGGGATACAAGGTCATTATAGTGATAACCTGAAAGAGAAAACAAAGAAAGAAAACTATCAGAGAATTCATAGACTCATGGTCCCCCCACAGATCACGAATGTATTTGAAATGCTATTTTATTTTTTTATTTTATTTTACATTTCCCATCAGATTAAACATTCCTATTTTTAGATAAGGACAGCAATAATCATATATGAATATTTGAGCATCAGGTCATTTTAACAACTTCACCATCACCAGGTCAGGAGGAAACTTTCTAAAATGCCAATTCAAGTGCAACTTTTACAAAATAAGCTTCCACAAAAGGAGCTCATTTGGTCACTTAGAAAAGCAGAGATATTTTCAGAAAGAAAAGTCTCATATTGAGACAAATAGAGCATTTTTTTCATTTACTAAAAATATTTTAAAATGTCAGTAACACTTAAATGGATTTCAAGACTTTAGCTTTTGAGGCTTGCTCATTCACTGAACAATACTATTTTGTTTTGCTTTATTATAGCGAAAGTTGCAAATTTTAAGAAAAAAAATCAATGACAAAATAAAATACCACCAGTAATAGAGCCAAACGTGGAATGATCTCTAGGACAAACACTGTGGAGTAACTCACATCCACATTACCCTAGATGAGTTTCTGTATGAAAGTAGTGTTTGTGTAGCATTTGGCACAGATTCCCTCTGCAATCCACACCATTCACCTCTGGGACTAAAACATACTTACAATTTTCCTGTATTTTTTTTTTCTCAGTTCATAGAAAAATAATACATAAAAAATATATACTGTTATTCATTAGAGTTATGTTTTTGGAACCTCAAACTAAGGTTATGTACTGCATGATCTCTGTTGTGGCATGATGGCGTGTGGAAGGACTGAAGACCATAAGGCCGCCTTGGTTGACTGCAAATAGAAGAGTCAGCTTGTGCCTTGTCCTTGCTGCCTATTGGGAATCATTGTAAAAGCGATTTTTACTTAATAACATTTGGATTTAATTTCAGGAGGGAAAATTCTGGCTACATCTACATTATCAACTTGTGCAGATCAACAGAAATGTCTCAGTAAAGTGAAATTTTTGCTGCTGAGTAAGACCTAAGTAAGACCTAAGACCTCCTGTATCCAGGAGTAGGTTTCCTTCAGAAAATCTATACTTTATACTCCTGGACTGAATGTGTGCCTGAACCCGATTTTTCATTTAAGTTGAAAAGAATTCACCTTGTTCAAGACCCTTTCACAAATCATACTAAAGCACAGTTAGTGGGGACATCATCAAAAAGGAGCCACTGGTCCAAAGCAAAAGGCACATCATAAGTGACTAATGGATATAGAGCATGGATGAACAAGGTTCCAGGATCCAGGAAAACGTCCAGGAGGTGGAGTATTTGGCAGTGTAGATGTATGTTTAGCTAACTAGAAACCATCATATACCACCAAGGATCTTGATCTGGAAAGATTCAAGTCAGGAATAAAACCAAACAAGCAGTATAAAGGCAAAAGGAAAAATGGAAATGAGTGAGTGTAGAGGGGTACTGTGCTCCCACAGGCTTCAGGGGTTCCCAGCACGATGGCAAACACTCAAAAATATGAACTGAATGCAGTTTTGCAAGGGGTCGGTATTGGGTAATTGCACGCAGTTGGGAAATGTAACTTTTGGTCCTGAGCTCAGTTCCAGTGTGCCTGCAAAGACAATGGTCTTCATCTAAATTCAACACATAAACATGTGCTAGGCACAACAGGCTCTCTGCCAACTTCCACAATGCAGGGCAATTGCAAACAAACTACCTAAAGCCCAGCCTTGTCTTTGCCTTGAAAGAGACTGGGTTGCTCAAAGTTGTCCAGCCGGGACAGGACCTGTGCTCAGCCAGGGAAGCTGTTTTCTCAGCCTCAGGCTATGAGTACTCCACATGGCTTGCAAGTCAAAGCAAAAATATCAGAGATTTAGTGCTTGCTAACATGCTCATGTAGACATACAGAAACTATTTTACAGAATATTCCATACTAGGGAAAAAAAAAACAAACCACAGAGCAAAACTTGTAAGTGCCACTGGGTAACGCAGCAAAATACACACAAAATACACACTGAGGATATAATTGATAGCATATTAAAATATCCTGGCTACCAAGCCAGTTTAATTCTAGAACTATGCCCAGAAAACTTATCTTCTTTATAATAACACTCCTGTTTAAATAATCATTGTTGATCATGGCATCCTTTGCTTATGATAATTATTCATTCAAATAAACATTTGTGGTTATCCCGATTGCCACCCCCACTTCTGAAATCAAGTTGAGAGCAAAACTCGACTGTGAACATTTTGGGTAGAATGACTTTCAGTACTAGTTTAAAATAAAAGGCTCAGGTTCTCTCTTTAGAAGTTCAAGAAGGATCTAATGTCTTATGATGGATTAGATTTTGGCTTTCTGATGCTAGTTGCTAATCCTTAATTACCTCTCACATTGTAGGCACTAACTTTGCCTCTGCTCTCTAAATGGCTGGGTGCTGGGCATTTCCGGTGCTTAGAAGCTGGCTAGCTTAATTCACATATTACCTTTTTTTTTTCGAACCAAGAAAGATGTTTCATAGAGTCTAGAAATATTGATTATAAGGGACCTCTTGTCCAGACCAAGCTTCTGGTAGAAGTAGAGCTGTTTCCAGCACTAGAGACCTGTATACCTGGTCCAGCAAGCTTGAAAATCTCAAAGTCTGAGACTCCTCCACCCTTCTGGATTGGTTGTTTCAGTGCTGCATTGGTCTTCTGGTGAGAAACTGTTTCTTAACATCTAACCTGAACTGCCATTAATGGCCATCCCCTTGTTATACAGTCTGGCACTGTGAAGGAGAATTTGGCTCCATAGTCTTTCCATGGGACTTTCAAAGGTTTTGCAAAAACAAGAAAAAAAAAATCTCTGACTGGGAAACTGTCACATTTCCCAACTGTTCTCAATGCTAAAGTGCTAAATAACACCTTTCATTTGGGTCTGCATTTCAAACTAAAAAATGAAATAAGGACAAAAATTACTATTAAAAATTGGATTATTGGGCAATTTAAATGAAAACAGATTTATTTTATTATTCAAGTTTCCCTAAAAGCCAGGTTTCTTTGGATTCTGTAGGTCTGAAAAGCAAGATCTGGTTACAAAGAGACTTTCCAGTATCACAGAAAGTTGCCTAATTTTGCTTTTATTAACTAGTACCCATAGGCTTTAATACTAGTTTTTGGTAAACCTTAGGTGTTTCACTATTATGAATCCTAGTCAACCAGTTCTCACACATCACATTTTATATATTGCTACTACTACATATTTATAGCATATATATGTTCAATATTCTTGCATATGCATCTAATCAGAGAACCAAACCAAACAGCGTGGCTCTTATAATACATCAGCCTTCAAAAATTTTTGAGTAAGTTTTTGTGGTAAACAATTCATCAAGAATTATCTACTCAGCTCTAATAATGAGCTTTCAACAAGCTGCTTTCACTAGCAAATGTGACAGTACACCACAAAGCTTGTTGTCTTTGGTCTTATAAATACTTGATAGTTCATGGTCAGTGTTAAAAGTTTTCAGAAGTTACAATAAATCCTCAATTATAAACATCAAAAAGAATATAATGAGTAAAAGTATTTCTTCTAGATTGTCAGTGTAGTTTTTGGCTATGTCTCAAGTCTCAAAAGCTCTCCTAAAACTCTATCATTATTTCCAAATGCTTCAATCCTATGTTTTAAGCCTATCCACACATATATCTACACACATTAGCTGTATGTACTCCAGCTGGACTTCATGAGTTTGACTGGAATCCAATACCTAAAAGGCTGAAATTAAACCTCACACTTTTTTTTGCTAGTTATAAAAAGCAACAAGAACTGTATTTCTCATTACATCATGTCAGTGTTAAACAAAGCAATTAGCTTAATTTGACACTCATTTATAAAGTAGCAAATAATTCTTTGAATACTGTTGTGGTAGATGCAGAAATCTTGGTTTGTAAGTTATACAAATCCTTCTTATTATGTCATATTTTCTCCTTGCCAAGGCACACTGATATTAAATGGTTTTCCTTAAAGAAACAGGAACAAAACACGGCACATTTTTACCACAGAACAGAAAAGTCTGTTCTGCTATGAGACAATGATCCTAATAAATAAACACAGAGAATTAACAAACAGGATACATTATGCACTTCCATTATACGAAGTTTGACCAACAGAAGGATCAGAATCTGAACTTTTTCCTAATATGTCAGTGTGAGAAAAAACACTCCACTTGGAGAGCTCAGACTTATATATTGAACAATGTGCAAACCAAGGATAGAATTTGGTAGAGCTTTACAAAGTCAAATACTTCACTGATTTCAATGTAACAGCTGGGACCAAACCTCAGAAAATTAATATCTCCTGAAGTATAATGACTTAAAAAGGCAAATACACATCAAAACAGAAAAAAAAGGAAAGAATACTGACTTGTTCCATTCAGGTCAACCATTAGACCATCTTGTACATGATCTTGAATAAGCTGTAAGGTCCTTTCAAATATTTCCCCAGCTCTTGCTTGCTCAACAGTGTATGGGTCCCTTGGGTATCGAAATAAGGCTAGCAAATCATTTGGAGAACGAGGACGACTAATAGATAATTTGGAAAAAAAGAGTAAGTGTACACAAGATTTACAAAACAACAACACTACATAAATCATATAAATGTTCAGCAACATGATTAGTACATACCTTGGTTACTCATCTCAAAATGGAAGGCAAACCAAGAAGAAAAAAATTCAATAAAATAATAAAATTTTAAATATTTCATAGTAATTAAATATTTAGTAGCATTTTAACATACATTGTCTCAGCAGAAGAACTGCTGCAGTGAACAGAGATCTCAGCAGTAGTGTATGAACAATACGAATCCTTACATGTTAAACTGTTAGTACTCTCAGAAACAATCAGACATTAACAATGTCTTTTAAGTAACAAAATGGTTTCTTGTTTAATAAATGTCCCATTATTTCTAGTATATACAAAATTAATTCTGACTTCTCAATTTAAAAAATAAAAAAAAAAGAAGGAGATACCTGTCAAACAGATGTGTACGTGTTGAATTTATTGCTCTGTCAACAGTTGCAATTGCTTCCACAATTGACGTTTGTACAAAAGGATCTCCATTTCGGCTGACATTAGGAACTAGAGAAAAAGGAATTCACATGTTATTGCAAAAATGGCCACACACAAAAAAGATACTTCCATAAAACAGAGTCTAGACACGACATCATTTCAGTTCTACAAAGTAAACTCTTGTTCTTTAAATGTTAGTTCACCCAAATATAAAATTCTTAACCATTTTGGAATTCTATCAAGACATATTAAAGTAGAAAAAAATTAATTTAAAACAGAAGTTAACTTAAGCTTAAAAGTCATCTTGCTTATAACTCAAAACCAAGATAAAGATAAACGCATACAGTGTTAAGCTGTCCTTTAATTAGACCTACAACTTCAAATGAAGATGACCAAATCAAAAATTAATTATCAAGGGTTTTTTTCTGGTGTATTATCAGGTTTCAGGTGTTGGTATCAAGAGCCTGATCTATAACCACTGAAATCAATGCAGATTTCCCCTTTAATTTCAGCTAGTTCTGAATTAGTATTGAATTCAATGTAAGAACTTAAAGTGCTTACAGGAATGTGCTGCAAGTGGTACATGATGAACATAATTTACAGAATTGAATGAACATAAATTAACATTGTTCTTCTCCTGGTCTCAGTATAATAAGCAATACAGATTAATTTGAAAGGGCAGTAAATATTTTTTAATTTAGATCACTATTTTGTTTCCTACTTTACTATTTTCTTTTTAATACTAGATTAAAACTCACATGCTTAAACGCTATTTAACAACTGTACACAATGCTGGAAACTCAACAATGCATAGGCCTTTTTATACAGTGCTTTGTTGCAGCTGGATGTCTGTACAAACTATGTAGGACTAATAACCTTCCTTTCAGTCTAAACTAAGCACTACCAGATCCAGGGGCAACAGCTAACAATTTCCAGAGTGTGTTTAGATTGGAGAAGTCACACAGGAAGAAGGGTAAAGTAGGGGAAAAGTCCAAAGCAAATATACTGGTATAAAATCAGCAGATGTACAAAATCATCTGACATAAAAACTGTTGTTTATAAGCTTTTCATTACTTTTTTTTTTCCTCTAGGCCACTTTTCATCATTCCTTCCTAAGTGGCAGCTTAAATTGTCTCTACATGAGTTTCATAGTCTAGACCCACTTAATCAAACTTAACCATCTATACCATCAAATAAAACAGTCCCTGGAACACTATAGCTGCAGATGAAGCCCCTTTCTGTGCCCTGAAGCCAGTCTCAGGCTTCTGGCAAAATATTCCCAGCCTCCAAAATCAGCTGACCCTTTAGACACTGCCTGAGGGCAGTAGTCCCTGATCCATCCTAATTACCAACTGTACTTGCTTGACAGCTTCATTTTCAATAGCAACCATTCAGAAACACTATCAGATAAGCTACTTATTTTAGGAAGAAATGTCATTTACAGGTTTAAATTTTAAATTTTAGTTGTTTCAGCATGTTTGTGTGCCTTGAATGACATGAACAGTGCAAAAACGCAGTCTGTAGAAATCCAGGGGCTGGTTACTCTCCTTAGTGCTGTCTACATTAGATGTAAACTTGGTGTTTACTTGCAGGGCTATCTTTCTGATTAATGGTATATGTGGGCTGAATTATAAACCTTGGTCAGATGTTAACTATTCTGTACTTGATTTTTGTTTAGATTATTTATTGCTAGCAGTTCTTTTTTCAGACTGATAAATGTTAGAAGGTAAAGCTGCTTGTAAGAGTCTCCCACAATACTTTTTTTTAAATTTGGGCAGGGAGGGAGAATGACTCTTACAAAACAATGGAAAAACACAGAAGAAAATGGCAAAAGGAAATCGTCTTTAAAATATTATCCAACACAATCAGCAAAACGTGTTCCTAGCTTCTATACAATTGCCTTCATTTGGTCTCAATCTTCGGAAAGTGTTTTGGTTTAGAAACATTAATACAACATTGCACCATTAAAATAAATGATGCCATGCAAGTTTTTAGGCGTTTCTGGCTATGCCATTATAAATGTTATCTACACAGCAATTAACCAATACTTATAATCTGTCCACTTGTCCTTCTTGAGCCTCTGACAGTATCAGGTTTTAAAGCAGCCACAGCAAAACAACATCTCATATCCCACTAGTATGAAGGAGAAATTTCATTTATGGTTTCAGATGGAATGCAGATTAATTAAGTGTAGTTTCACTAATTTTAGATACAATTGCCTTCATTTGGTCTCAATCTTAGGAAAGTGTTTATTTATGCTACAGTTTAAAAGAAATTACCCACATTACAATTATTTACTGCAAATCAGCTAATAAGTAGTTCTGTAGTTTGCTCATTTCAGCAGATGAGAATGATCAATTTACACCTGCACTAAGTGAATGAAACTCATTTCCATTGGGTTTTATTTCAACTCATGGTTTCATTTTTCAGCACTCTTAGTGACTTGAGAACTAGCTAATCTTTCCTAAACAAAAACTTTTTTTTTGCTATGCATCTCCAGAGTAGCCAGATTAACTGATTTTCATACTTTCTTTCATTTTCTACTTCATACATGTAGACAGAAACTTATTACTGAATGATTCCTAGCCCTACAATTTATCTCTCCTGAATAATCTTTACAGATTTAAAAAATATTTTTCATAGAAGAAAGTACAGATTAAAAGTCTACTAAAAGCAACCTAAGACGGGTAACATCATAGTTTTATTGATACCATGGCAAACAACACATTAGAAAAATCACTGATACACATTTATCCGTTTAGTAAACAAGATACAGAACATCCCAAATGACACTGGGAAACAATATTGAAGATATCTTCACAATAATCTTCAAAATACCAAAACAAGCACTGTTCTGTACTAATTTTTTGAAGGTACAAAAATATTGTCCTATATTCCCTACTGAGAGACAGAAATCATACCGTTTTCTTTGACTTTCTACCAAAACTAAACTGAAAAATCAGCAGTTTTAGTCAATAAGTCAGAAAAGTACTATGGTGAATCTTTGTAGTAAATTTATTTCCTTAGCTTCTTTTGCTGCTTTATTGCCATTTATTACATAGTAATAATTGATTAGCTATTATTTGCCATTATTACTTTCAAATAGTTAGAACAAGATCAAATAGTCTCTTTTTCTTTCTGTTTTCTCTTTTAGCTTCTTGAGGTGTGTATGACTTTCCTGAACTGTTTTGCAATAGGTGCATCCTAATTTTCAATGAAGTGCTGTAAGTGTCCCTTTGAAGATGCCAGAAGACATTTGCCAAGTTATTTTAAAATTTAGACTGGGTATTTGAGTAGCAAATTCTAAAAGCTCTAAATAATATCTCAGGATGAAAGTTGAAAGACTAACTTGAGCCCAAACCACAGTTGATTTTGGAGCTTAACACCTAGAGATATTCCTATTATGACACTACCATCTTACTAAAATATGGGGGGGAAAAAGAATCATGGGAGGAAAATAGATGCAGGAAAAAAATAACTAATTTAGTATTTTGACAACTTTGTTTCATCTTACATGTTAGACAATTAGGATAAAACTAATAATCTAAGTACTGAGTCATGTATCTTACCATTCACACTAAGCACCATACTAACAGAGGAGTATCCTATGGTGTTGCGGGCAACGCACTCATAGCGACCTTCATCGGCTGTGCCAACATCGCGGATGGTGAGAAAGCCCTCTGGGCTAACATGGAATTTTCCACTCTCAGTTACCTGCACTCCATCCTGCAGGAAAGCCCAAAGTTGACTTATTCAAAACACACTTGTCTTCATACACGATTTTTTTGTCATCTTTTTCTCTTCTGATATTATTTTTATTTTGTATTTCTATTTTGTATGCCAAGTTTACAGTCAGAAAATAAGCTTATATAGAAAAATCACACGTACTTCTAAAATGTACAGTGTATTTCTTTACTTCTACAATTACTCATTATTACAAATCAAAGTATTTTAATAGGCTTTCACCACATAAGATCTATGACCCAAAAATAAGATAACACCACTTGAGAGCATACATATTTTATTTTTCTCAAAATTAATCAACTGAAATAGATCTCAAGAACTTCATGTATATCAGTTCTTCATGTGCTACATATTTAGAAGCTATTTAATGTTCATTAGAGTAAATTTCTAGTATTCACTAATTGAAGAGAAGAAAATAATCAGAAAAATTGAATATCAATATTAGGAACTCATTAATTCTCTGGTAACTCTGCTAATAATCTATACTTTGATATAGCAATTGTTATATCAATGGAAATCAAAGCCACAAAGAGGTTACCAGAAAGTTACCAAAGCCTGTCCTGGTTAGTCTCAACGTAGCAGTAGCAAATGGCTCCAATACACCATTTCTTATTGTTTTATATCAATAATATCATTGAAATTGTGAATGTTAGTAGGCTATTCTACTGTCACTAAATACAGACCTTTTAAGGTATACATTATGAATTTTAGCTGGTCTGCATAATATTTTGCATAACTACATACGTAAATGTATCTATATACCTGCTCTGTATTAAATACTTACTGACTGGACTTCAGGTAATGTTTTCATACACCATAGGAAGCAAAAATTTGACAATGTGCACTTTCAATAATGAATTATGAAGAGGTGGAAAGGCCACTGTCTTTCTGCAATAACTGAATATGCAGTACCTTATTCCATGTAATGACTGGCTCCGGCTCTCCTTGAGCACTACATGGGATCTGTACGTTTGTGCCAACCTCCACTGTCATGTCACTGGGAACACTGGCAAATACAGGAGTCACTAAAAAAGCCAAATGATACACTGATAAATTAGGAAATACAACTTGTGCAAAAGACAATCAAAAAATAGGTTAGCACTCTGATCAGTTTGTGAACATTTCTTAATCTATTACATGATTCTATCTGCAGGATTTTAGTTGCTTATAACTTTGTTTTAGGGATAAAATTCTCCTTGAAGAAACTAGCATCCCATGGTGTGGATGTATATTCTTTGCTGGATAAAAACTGGCTGGATGGTCAGACCCAGAGATAGTAGTGAATGGAGTTACATCCAGTTGGTGGCCAGTAACAAGTGGAGTTCCCCAGGGCTCAGTATTGGTGCCTGCCTTGTTTAATATTTTCATCAATAATCTGGCTGAGGAAATCAAGTGCACCCTAAGCAAGGCCATAGACAACAGCAAGTGGGGCAGGAGTGTTGATCTGCTGGAGAGCAGAAAGACTCTACAGAGGGAGCCGGATTTATACAGGCTGAATAAATGGGCTGAGGCCAATTGTATGAGGCACAACAAGGCCAAGAGCCAGGAGATGCCCTTGGATCACACCACCCCCTGCAGTGCTGCAGGCTGAGGGCAGAGTGGCTGGAAAGCTGCCCTGTGGAAAAGAACCTGGGGGTGGTGGTTGACTACAGCTGAACATGAGCCAGTATGTGCCCAGGTGGCCAAGAAAACCAAAAAATGGCATCCTGGCCTGTATCAGCAATAGTGTGGCCAGCAGGAGCAGGGCAGGGATTGTCCCCTGTACTCATCACTGGTAATGTCCCACCTCAAGTCCTATGTCCAGTTGTGGGCCCCGTACCACATAAACGACATTGTGGTACTGGAGCATGGCCAAGTGGCCAGCAGGAGCAGGGCAGGGATTGTCCCCCTGTACTCAGCACTGGTAATGTCCCACCTCGAGTCCTATGTCCAGCTGTGGGCCCCGTACCACATAAAAGACATTGTGGTACTGGAGCATGGCCAGAGGAGGTTTAGATTAGATATAGGGAAAAATTTTTGCATAGGAAGGGTTGTCAAGCACTGGAACAGACTGTCCAGGGAAATTGTAGAGCCACCACCCCTGGAAATGTTCAAAAAATGTGTGGATATGACACATAAGGACATGGCTTAATGATGAACATGGTGGAAGTGCTACATTGACAGCTGGACTTGATGAAAGGTCTTTTCCAACCTTAACCATTCTATGATCTTATTCCTGATGTCTGCTTCAGGATCATTTTAAAGTACTCGACTTCTAACATACTAGTCTAGTAGTTGTCAAAAACACTTAAGTTCCATTAATTTAGAGCTCTGAAAAATATTTCTGTTAATAGCTAAACCTGTAGAAAGTCATCAGAATTAATATTGCATTAACTTGTCATCTTTTTTTTTTTGTTGTTTTGATTTTTTAAGTCCTGACAACTGCAATTTCTCAGATGACAAAAGCAAAACCTTCCACAACTCATTCAAGTGAGTCTCTCAGCTTGACTTGCTGAGGTACTGAGTCTTGACAGAGCTCCTTTCTCCATGACACCTATGAGCTTCAGCCCTTAAAACATCAAAAATCACCTTCAATTCTAAGGACAGAGTACACTGTTACCTAAATCCACTATGAATAAAATTAATGTGCTTTTAAACTGTAATTTTCTTCAAATCCAAACTGATGCCTGGCATTCAGATATCATCATAAGAAGCACATACAAGATTATACAGACATTAAGGATTCTATTTCTGCTGTAACACACTGCTATATTACTGATGTCATGATACAGATATTTAGGGGGGAGTTGGAGAGGGTGGAGGATTGTGCATTTACAGAGAAGCTTCAATTCTAAGGACAGAGTACACTGTTACCTAAATCCACTATGAATAAAATTAATGTGCTTTTAAACTGTAGTTTTCTTCAACTCCAAACTGATGCCTGGCACTCAGATATCATCATAAGAAGCACACACAAGATTATGAAGACATTAAGAATTCTATTTCTGCTGTAACATACACTGCTATAGTGCTGATGTCATGATACTGATATTTAGGGGGGAGTGGGAGAGGGTGGAGGATTGTGCTTTTACAGAGAAGTATGTGGCTCCACTGCAGTCATTTATACTACCAACCAATCTGGCCCTACTGTTAAACTGTACACAAATGCCTGTAAAAGACCAGAAATCAGTTCAAATAAGGCATCCAGAGGCAGGTGTCCAGCACTGGGAGGTAAGAGAGTCTGGCTCTGTGGATGTGAGCTGAGTCATGCCAGCAAACATACCTGGACCATTAATCTGTGTTTATTTACACTGATTCAACCACAGTGACCAATGACTAAATATTCCTCAGGTAAACAGTCCTTTTGTTAGAAGCCCAAAAGAAATTTTCTTTTCTTGCACAACTGAAAACAGCATTGCAAATAATCTGTGGAGAGCTCCAATTTCATGCTACATATTCAGCCTTCAATCTTGTATTTACTATCTTTTGGTGACTGAATTTTGCAACCTGAGTTGCACAAAATTTGTATTATTAAACTTTACTCATGTCCAGTGAAATTTAACACTGCTGGAAAGCTTTTTTTTAAAATTATACTTGTTTTATATAATCTTAATCAACATTTTATATAAGTTTTAAAAAATCATGTCAATTTTGACAAATCCATCTTCTAATACTACTCTTAACTAAGAAAAATCAATAGAATTTTTTTCTGACAAACTTCTAGGCTCATTTGAGCCCCTTTTACTAATATACAGTTTTAAGTTAGGTCAGTAAAAAGAAATGCTTTGAATTACACCTTTTATCTCCTTGAATTCAGTTCAACATCAAAATACTTAAATAAATTATGAATGGCAATATGATTATAATTTATCCTAGAAGTAACTTACTTAGAATTTAATTGAAAAAAAGTATAAAATTGGAATTTGGGGTTAGTGTTTTAGGACTTTCTTTTGTGTCAGTTTATTTTCAGTACAAGGAATGACTTCTCTTTGTGAAGTTTGTTCTGCTTTTGTAAAAGAAAGTGTTCTGTTTCTGGATATGAAACATTATGTTAATAACACCACTTAACTAACATCATAGAGCCTTATTGGAAACTCGATTTTTCACAAAATAAAATATTTTCCAATGCATAGGAATACTGTCATACTCAAAGCAAACCTCCACTTCTTTCAAAAAAAAAAAAAAAAAAAGTAAATCAGATAAACCCCTTTCCCAGAAGACAGACTGTTCTAAAGGTTCTAAAGGAATGATACCCTGCACAAATACTGATAAATGTCCAGACAAGGTATTTGTTGGAAACCAGCTGGGATCTACAAGGAGATATACTCAGAAACAATCACACATGGTACTGTGTATTTTAGTGTAAGCTTAAATATTTCTCTTTTTCCTTTTTTTTCTTCCCAGCAGCTGGGCATGGGCTGTACCTCTAGGCTGCACAGTCAGGTACACAACGATGCGCTGGGATCCAATAATGTTGACAGCCTGGCATTCATACTGTCCCTGGTCATGCAGAGCAACCCTGGAAATCCTCAGCGTTCCGGAGGATAGAACTAAGTGTCTTCTGTCAACAGACAACTGGCCTCCTGAAACACACAACAACACCATTTGCTCTTTATAGCAACAAAATCCCTTTGTGTCAGAAAAAGGGAAATTCAGGTTTTAAATTTGAGAAAACACTGGAAAATATTAAAGCTTCTTAAAAAAAAAACCCAAAAAACCAAACAACAAAACAAACAAGAAAAAAGTTTGAAATCTTTACTTATAAGATAAACATGAAAAGCAAACAAATTATACATATGCTCACAATCATAATTCTGATCTCTTCTCTGTTTGTGGTAGAAATAAACATTTTCATTTAAGGAGCATGCTAAAGCATCCAAATGAGAAGGCATGAAAACACCAACATGTGTTACTGCTCACGTCATATTATTACCATGTGTATAAGACACAATTTATCTTATTTGCCTAGGCCTAGATAATCCACAGAAAAATACACATCGCCCCACAAAAAAAATGGAATATAAGTAAAATGGATGTATATCAGTGTCTGTACCCTATCCTCCCTTCTGGACATTTAATTGATTGGAGCAGTCTAAGTAGAGGGAGAAACAGGGACATTAACAGCATCAAAATGATGAACAATGTTAAGAATCTGCTTTATGAACCATAATTTAGAATTTCCTAAGAGTTATTTACCCCGCTAGGGTTTTTACACTCGAATCAAACGGAATTTTTGCTTACCAACAAAACATCCACTACAATATTTCTTCCCACTGGATTTGGCTTTAATGCCTTTAGAGCCATAACTTGATAAAATAGTCAGCAGAGTACACCCCGTTGTTTCTGTCAATGTGCATTAAGTGACAGAGATGCTGGTACAGTTATAGGCTGGACTGTTCTGGTTTCTGAAGAGAGCACACCCCACCTAATTTCAGATCTCCAGTTAATGACAGCTATCTCTGTTTCTTCTGCAGTACAACAGCAGTGATACATACTGCTACATACACTTTGCCTCATATTTCTTAAACATTTATTATTAGGAATCTATTATGGACACATATTTTAGTGACTCTTTTTTACTTAACAATGAAAAATACTTGGGCAGCTATCTCCTGTGGGACACCTTGCCTTTCCCAGCTAAAGGAGAAAGAGATGAACTCTGTTTCCTTCAGAGACTGAAGCATCTAAGCAAATACATGCATTTCCTTTCACTAAAGAAGTGATTCCAATATGACTGCTAAACTATACTGGTAGTTTAAAAGTAAGAATGGAACACACTTACCTCCTTTAGTCCAGGCAATAACAGGCTGGGGATAACCTTGTGCCTCACAAGGGAAGTCAACGGTTTGTCCCTCAATCACTGTTTTGTCTTGTGGAGTGACAGTAAACTGAGGTAGAGCTACAGAAGAGGAAATAAAGCCATTTCAAAAAAAAACAATTGAAAAATGCATTACTCAATTGCATACTATTTCCTGTGTAAGTTGAAATAGCGCATACTGGTGGGAAAAGAGATGCTAATGGAATTTTTTCATATTGTGACCCCTAGAGAGAAGAGAGTTAGGGCAGCCAGTTGTGCAAAAGGAACATCTCTCTCACAACCTGGCCCTGATGCCACTGAAGACATGAGATCTACTGCGACACATCCAAAATAAGAGGTACATTAAAACTTGTAGAATCAAACATAAGTCTTCCCTGGATTAAAAATATTATCTTCTCTTTCTCTCAAAACTACCCAATTAAATTGTGAAGAAAAAAAGATGTAATCAAAACCTTGAGCTGCGCATTTTCTTCCATTAAAACAATGAGTGGAGTGTGGACCAGATTCAGCAGTAACACTGTGCACTAACTAACTATTCACTGTGAGAAGTATTCAGCTCTCAAAACACAATTATCCACTGGTAATAAATGAACAAACCACACAGAGAAGCTGTTTTGTATAGCTTTAGAACTCATTAAAAAGGTATTTGCAATCTTAACTGTTTGCCAACTAAAGATTTTAACATGAGAACAGAGGCAAACAAATTTAAAGGTTACTTAAAGCATTTTGGAAATAAAAGTTCCAGCATGAAAGTGTTTGCAAAAAATATTAACTATATACACAGGAGACTTCTGATAATTGATCTCAAATACTTTATAATCACACTATTGACATACAATATCAAAATTATTGCAAACTGAGTTAGTGTACTTTGACTTTTGTTTTGCAGAAAAGCTATGCTAATGCCTCAGCTGGCAGAATGATAGCTTCTATCAAACTCAGCAGAAACTGTTTAAACATTCACTGAAGTGTCTACAAAAGAAAAGTGGCACAGAGCTGTATTCAAAACTCCATTTGTAGTTCTCCAGGCATAAACTCTAATCTGTAGCATTAGTGCCTGTTACAGAAAATATGTAATCATTAAAAAAATTTGACACTTCTTGTTTGTTTCTCCATGCAAACACAACATAAGAAGTTAACATTTGAAAACATTAAACTTCTGATAATAATAATTTTCAGGGAAATAGTATAAAATATCTCTGTGTGAAATGTATAGCAACTTCCCTATGGACTACAATAGTGCAATTAGAAGTAAAAACATGGATGTTTTTAGTTTGGCTTTGTCACCTCAGAAGAAAAGAGAAATCCACACAATTTCAAGTAATATGCCTCTCCCAGTTTAACATGATTTACCTTGGACTATGATGTATGCAGTTGCATGGATGTTATCTATGGTGTTAGTTGCAAAGCACGTGTACTCTCCACTGTCCTCCTGCTTTACATTTTGGATGTAAAGTCCTCCTGACGGAGTTATGGTGACACGAGGGTCATTTGGTAGAGGGGTTCTGTCGCCTTTGGTCCACGTAATTCGCGGCTGAGGGTGCCCGGTTGCGCTGCACTCCAAGGTAACGCTCTCTCCAACCAGCACTTCGGTATTTTGTGGGTGAATCACAAAACTTGGCCTGGCTGTGAGAAACAGCAATGCCTAAATGCAGCTTTTAGCTTGCACAGCTCTAATTTAGACAAATATAGTCTATAACTGGGGACACCTGGGGGATTTAATAGCTCAAAGATGCCTCTAATCTCGGTGCAAACTCTGCCTTGCTTTAAGTCTAATCTAACTGCAGACATCAATACATAAAAACAAAAGCTCATAATTGCTCCGAGGTTTTTTTCTCAACTCCCATTAAAACAGTTTTCAAACATTTTGCTGTCCTATGCTGATCTTTATAAAGGTCTCTTCAGACGCATGGACACTGAGACCCAAAACACAAACAGGCTAAACATTGCTCTAAGTGCACAAAAGCCAAAACTGATTAAGCTACATTTTAAGTAACCTTTCTCAAGTACATGAGTAATTTGCAGTGACATTTTAAGTTTACCTGATGCTGTGTGTCAAAACAAAATGTTCTCACAGCAAAGACTGTGTTTTAACAAAAAAACATTACAGTCCTGGACACGAATTTAGTCCTTGCAAACATGAGGCCTTGGCTAGACAGAGCTAAAAGGTTCTTGAGCAAGGATGGCTGCACAGGGTGTGTCAAAGCTTCCATGAGTGGCTTGTTCAGCAGCTTGTGGTTTCTGGTATCCAGAGAGAACGTTACTGCACTGAGAAATGTTGCAATGCAAAGCCTCTTCTCCTAACCCTTCTACAGCCTACGAGACTATTATAAAAATTGCATACTACAATAAACATATTAATTAACCAGCTGAGTTGGATTTTTGTTCTAGAGATATTATAGCTTCATGATCTGGGTCTTAAGATGCCCAAGCCCAACTAATCTACATATCAAGCGCCAAAGCACTTTATTTTTTAGCAATCTTATTATCAAAACAACTCTCTATATGAATGCAAAATTCAGACTTAATGTTCTTTACCTGGTGACTCAAAGTATCTAAGAGTAACTTCCTGAGTTTTCACTTCTCCAGCCACATTTTTTGCCATGCACTGGTAAATGCCTTGGTCTGTTTCTTGAGTATTTTGAATCATCAACGTGCCATCATCTAGCAAGTTTAGACGGGAATCTTCTTTCATACTGAGCTCATTACTGAGAAGAAAAGGATCTGCTAGAGTTAAACCTTTAAATCACAAGTGCAGAAAACTGCCAAATAATAAAATCCAGGAGATAAATTACCCAAAACAATTTATACAATATATATTTCCCCAAAATAATTTGTGGGGAAAAAAACCATATTACTTTGTTAAAAATAATGGAACTTTACATTTTCTCCTAAAGAGAAGAGGAAAAACAAATCATGAAACTATTTTGCTTGTGAAATGCAAGTAATGCATCTTCAAAACAAAAAGTTAAAATAATTTTATGAGGAAAAGCTTACAGGGAAAAAAACCCCAATGAACAAATACACATATCTGGTCTTTAAAAGGCTGTTCTAGTTGGCAAAACAATTAAAACTGTTTCCACTGGAAGTATGTCATGGAAGTTCAATATTCAAGATACTTTCTGTTAGGAGAGAGGTTAGTTGCTATAAAACCATCTTTGTGCCAACCTCTGCCTGGATTGTTCAAGAAGCACTAATAAATTTGATTATATTTTGTACTGTTTAAAATGTAAGTTAAGGTCAGGTTTTCAGGTTAGGTCATGCATGAAAAGTTTCTGTGATGTAACCTAAGAAGTCTTAGGGGGTTTTATTAAAGGAACTGTTTCTCAGTCTCCCTCTCACTACATGATGAAGAAAGCACAGAGGAGGGATGAGATCACACCTCCTATGTACAAAACCCAGCCTACTGATCTATTCAACATACTGCTCAACAGGCTTTTGACTGAAATCTGGCCATATTCAACTAGCTTGCAAACAGCTTTGCTCTCATTCATACAGCCAGGAAACAAGCCAGAGTCAATAATCGCTCACCCCAAGCTCAAGTTTCTTCTTATAACTCATATGTGTATTCTGAATACGTTTTCTTTGTGTATTATAAGTACATGAGCCAGAGAAAATTCTAAAGAAATAATTATACCATTTGAGTTCAAGGCTCTATTCTTGACATACTCCATAAATGCTGCACTTTTGCTGCACAAGGGGTTCTCACTGACATCAGCAGAAAGATATAGAACCAGGACTCTAAACCATGCCATTTCATCAGCAAGTGACTAACTAAAATGCTTTATAGAAACTGTAAGGGATTTATGTTCCAGGTCAGGTTTGTATAAGAGCATTATTAAACCAAAGTCTGATTTACTGATGGTAAACTCACAGTTCATGTGTCCATTGTCAGTTCACACCAGTTTAAGGGGGTGATATGCTGGCACAAGGCTGGTTCAGCTGTGCTGTGCCCAGTGCAGCTGGAGGGAGCCAGGCTCTGGGCACAGCCTGAGCAGTCACTCCACAGCAGGCTGGCCCTTGGGCTGTTTAAAGGTAGTCACCCTTTACAGAACTTTCTCCAAACTTGTAAGCAGTGAAGGAAAGAGATGAAGTAGGTTGCCCAGACAACCTGTGCTATCTCCACCCTCAGAGGCTTTTAAGACCCATCTGGATAAAGCAATCTGGTATAATCCTGCTTTGAGCAGAAGGCTGCACTGGAGACCTCCTCCAACCTGAATTACACTACAGTCTTATGATATAAAGACTTGCCTGCCCTCCATGTATTGTTTTGAGGAGGCTGGAAACAGATGTCTCTCTCCTCTCCTGGGACAGAGCTCAACCTTGAAGGAAGATATCTCTGAGGAGCTAGGGCTCCAGAAAGAGTTCTCTGAAACTTTAATTGTATCCAGCTGGAGTCCTTAAAAAAAGTACCTTTTTCTCCACCCCAAAACATATGCAAATGCTAAGTAATCCACAGTCTGGACATACAACATGTCCACATGTCCTGGTACTTATATATAAATGCTTTAGTATTACAGGTGTGAGCAGCTTTGCAGGTGTACTACAGCTGAACATCTTACAAATAGTACTAGAGTAATAATACTTTCTAGTTTCCAGCTCTTAAATGTTTAGAAATATTAATAAAAAGCAATGGGCCATCATTACTTCATATGCTTGTTTTAATTATAGCATGTTTTTGCTGTAACTATTTCATATATTACCATATATAGCACATGGACATGCACCCAGAAATGTACATACAGACAGGCAAATGTAATTACAAGAAGTTTCTCTCTTCCTCTTTCAAACTTACTTGTTTCGAAGCCAGATAATTTCTGGTTTAGGATTGCCTTCAGCCCTGCAAGTGAAGTACACTGTATTCCCTGAGGTAACGTCCACATCCTGAGGCTCTGATGTAATTCTTGGCCTCTCTATATCAACAATAAAACACACAAGGAACTCTTACTTATTTTAAAACTACTAAAAACTGGTAAATAAAAATGTTTCCACATATCTTGTAAAAAATATTCGTCACAAATGTTTTGACTTAAAATATGTATATGCTTAGTCAGGATTAACTGCACTTTTCCCTGTGCAAAAGTGACTGTGGGATTTCTGACCTCCTTCATTGTTCCTTAGGACCTTTCAGCAGACTGGAAATAGATTGTGCAAATTTGTATCAGGTTCTAAAGCAGCTGTTTTATTTATTTGAACAGAGATTCAAATTGCCTATGAAGGAAAAACTTTAAAGCAGCAAGCACAAGTGCCATTTAAAATAACTTCCTCTAGATAAGTATCAGTGCCTAGCCTGCCTCACAGCATAATTTGTACAGCTTGCTTCCTGCCGTTTCCATATTCAGGCTCCTTGGATGTGCAAAGGGCTGGTAGGATGCCATGTGCATTATTCTTGCATCAAATTCCCTTTGTGCTATCTTTTTCAAGAACCTTGTAGATGCTTATGGTCAGTTCTCAGGATCAGAATTATATCCAACACATGACCAAAAGGAAAATTTACTTATTTTATACCTTGGCTTCATTATGTGAGTAGGCAGGCAAATGCCCATAGCTTGATGAGAAATCTGCATTTTGATTTCAGAACACAAGAGGTACTTGGACAAGTCACAGGGTGCCCATGGGGCCAAGTTTTTATACCACTAGAGTGAAGAACTATACACAAACAAAAGGATTACAAAGGTGCTTTTCCATTAATCCTCAGTGGCAGAGGATTCCAGTGCCTGTGTGAAGTACTCCTAATAATTATAGGTGAGTAAAAAAAAATTCAGTGACCCAACCCCAACTCCTACATCAGAAAATGATTTTAAAAGCCAGAACTGTGTCACCAGGGGAAATTCAATGAAGATTATTTCTTTCCTTTCCCTCATATAGAAGGGAATAAATGACACCAAATAATATTAATGCAACACCATAGACCCTAGATGACAATCTTGTCATGATCAGAACTGAAATATAAAAGGGAAAAATAAACTCCTTCAGGATAATCACCTTTCGTTCTTCAAGGGGAAATTTCAAACATGGTTATATTTGTTTCATTAGATAGGCTCAAGGGTAAAAGCAATCAATGCTGTCAGAAGCACACAAAACCAGAAAAGGAACATGGAAATATTTCTAGAAATAACCAAAATTATCTAGAGGTGGTCAGTGTTTAACACAACAATAAATTCTAACTCCCCCCAATACAGTTTAGGTACATGCAGCCCATTACAAATAAGCCATCAGGAAGTGGCAAACCCACCGCAGTTCAATTCTTCTGGTGTTATTGTGGCCACGGATCTTCCCTGGATCCTCCGAGGGTACTCACAGGTGGCTGCTGCCTGCGCGTTACCCGACTCCGCGTACGCCTTCAGCAGCTCCGCCAGCCACAGGATCTCACAGTCGCAGTGGAGAGCGTTCGAGTCCAAACGCCTGCACAAAACAAGGAGCAGCCACAGCCCCGTTAGCAAGCCTCAGCCATTTCTCTAGGATCAACATGCTCTGTAAATGGAGCAATGCCTTTATCTGTGAATACAGACAACAGGCAACATGCAATACAGGTGATGGTTACTTGCTTACAGGCATTCTGGGAGTTTTTATTAGAAGAATGCATGTTATTTTTACTGCCCAAAGAACAATCTGTGTATATTATTTAGTCTATAAGACAATGATTACAAATAATTCCAATACAGGAAATAAACTTCAGTCAGTAACTAAAGAAAATAGATATAAAACAATCTATGCACATAAACAACAGGAGCACAGTTAAGAAAAAAATATTTAATATTTAAAACAATTACACCACAAAAGGCATTTACAAGGAAGATAAATATTGCAAGAGAAGATACAATCTAATTCTGTTATTTAATGTTTCATTGGTTCAATAATAATTCACTTACAGTCTCTTCATAGATTCTAAGTGGCTAAATGTTCCAGGAATCAAATGAGCTATTCTGTTGTTATGCAAAAACCTGTTAAAAACACAGAAATATGCATGTAATAATTCAGATTTTGTGATGCATTAATTTCATTTACATAATTCTGGAAGTTTTCAAGAAAAATGAATCTAAGAAAATTTAAGAAAAAAAAATTGAACCTGTTCAGCAATTCATTGTCTGGTATTTTTTAAGTGGCCTCCAAGGTATACTTGGGTATGTGGGGAAAAAGAAGTCATAAGTAACTACAAGGAAGGGAGTTCATAAGCATTCAAATTAGAAATCAAAAAGGTCCTAAATAAATAGTCTAGTTCTTTATTCATAACATTTATTTTAGGTCAAACATTGATAACAGATCTTTGGGAAGTAGTTTTGCAAAAGAAAAATAAACCACAGGCAATGCTCACTTCTGCATGCCTCTAAGGTCAGCCTCGCCAAAGTGCTCTTGGAAAGACTACGTAGTAGTTACAGCAAAAAAAAATTAATTCAAAACCATTTATGGGAATGATAAAAATATTATTTTTTAGTTTAAAATGATTGATTTAATTCAAACAAGGAAGCAAGCTGTCTTCTGAATCTTACCCCAAGAAAAACAAACTTACAGCCTTTCAAGTTTTGGAAGATGAGTAAAGGATTCAGGTTCCAATGTTTCTATTTGATTAAAGTGCAGATACCTGAAAATATGTTAAACAAAAAGAAAAATACTGAAACAATTTTCTTGGTGAAATATTTTAAAGAACTTATTGTTTCCATAACATTTACAGATCTAAATGACCATAGTGATGTAGCAGCTTTTTTCTGTTACCATCTGAATCTCATACTTGAATCTGAGAAAGAGAAGACATGACAAAGACGTGTTTGCAGATCACTGTATTGAGTGTGTGTGTGTATATATATAAGCAAAAAAGCCTCTTATTGCTTTGGAGATAATACTTTGAATGCTATTTTGCCAACTCTGATGTTCATTGTATGCATGCTTGAAACAATTTATCAGAAAAATAAAATTATTATTTTTTAATAGGAAAAATGTTAGCGGTCATTTAGAAAACTTTTACAGTTTCCAGCACAATAACATTTTTCATGGCCAAATGTTTTCATTTCCATTAATGAAAATGTCAAAAGATGCTGAGAAATCTTCTCTAGCCCACAAACACTAACATTTAAAGCTGTGAATGTTCTCAAAACCAAATTTGTAATATAAACCCAAGTTTGACTAATTTGACTTTAGACAAAGGGCTTCCTAGCAACTGGTGCTGTTTGATGCTCTCTTGATGCTTATGCAACCTATTAACATTACACAACAATAAATCCACACAGCTGTTAATGCTGTAAAATTGACAAAGTTAACATAACAAGACAATTAACCAGACTATTAACCTGTAACTTGTGAAAATGGACTGCAAAGGCAGGATCATTCCAGCATCTACTATTTTGTAGAGCTACCCCTGAACCTTGCAGATGAGAAAACAAGATGTACTGGCTAAGAATGGCACAAGAGACTGTGAAAATTATTTATAGACTTTGGATCTTGATTATATCCAAATGTATTCAAAATCCTTTAAGTTTCGTATTTGACCTCTGACAAAGTCAGGAACCTCTGGAGAATGTGTATATACAGAAATCACTGTGGTCTGAAGAACAAAAAGTCCTGTCATTTAAAAACGGTAAGAACAACTCCGTATTTGACCTCTGACAAAGTCAGGAACCTCTGGAGAATGTGTATATACAGAAATCACTGTGGTCTGAAGAACAAAAAAAACAGTAAGAACAACTCTGAGCTCAATATCTCCTGAAACACCAATCCCTCAGCACGACAAGGACAAGGACATGGGGACTAGCCCATGCTGAGCCAGATGGTGGCTGGGCAGAGAGAAAAGTGATGATTGCAGCCAGGCCCTTGCAGGGATCCCTGGAAGGCGCGTGCAGGGGAAGCCAGGCACGTGCCTGGCAGCCTCCCAGGGCAAGCGCGAGCCAGCGAGCGATGCCAGGGAGCAGTGAATGGGGAGCACAGAAAAAGGCAATAAATCAGCACGGGCGTGACCAAGCACATCAGAGTGTCAAGCCTGCCTGCTGCCAGTGCAGTGCCACAGAGTGTCTTGAGCACACAGTATGGTCTTGTTAGCCTGAAGAACCAAGAACCGCATCACCTTGGTGGGAACTGCCTGTTTTCATCTCCCCTTTAAAAATACAGGGTGATTTCTTCTAAATTAAAAAGACAGATCTCAAAGGCAGATATTTCCTGCAAGATTCATTCAATTTGCCAGCAGAGAGAAGAGAGACCTCAGAGAGGAAGGACTGGCAGGACAAGGACTGGGCATGGCCCAGCCAGGAGGTGAGCAGGCACCCCTTGCCAGGAGCCAGGGCTCTGCTCGTCCACCTTCCAGGATCAGCAGCATTTGGGAGGGAGCAAGGCAAAGTGGCAATCACTGCAATGAAAGAGTACAAAGGGAAAAACCAGGCACAACTATGGGGTTTGTTATCTCCAAAGCAGCTTTTGTTTTAGAAAAAAAATTACAAACACTACTTCTTTTGCAGGCAGCAGTAATTTTTTTCCTTTTTAACTTCTTTAATTCTTGCATTTTTATGCCTCATGAGCACCCTGCAAACACATCTCTTTATATTCCAAATAAATAAGCTCTTGCACTTCTTTGGCGTTGACAAGGCAAGATTTGTAGGCACCCTTATTTGAACAAAAATAACATTGGTAAAAGCAGACCCATTAAGTCACACAACCCCTTCTTCAGGGCCACAAATCAGGGTGAAACTAGAAAGAGAGAAAAAGAAAGAATATCTCTCTCAGATAGTTTAAGTAGTATATACATTGCAAAACTCAGAGCTGCAGCCCATAATGACTGTTCGTTCAGACTATTAGAATTACAGATGTAATCAATGTGTGCCTGACAAGTCATCTTGTTTTTCCAAACAAATAAAAAAAAATTTTCTGTTATAAACCTTGCCTTGTTTACAAGCTCACACCCTTGCAGATACAATAATTCAGGTACTGAAGAACCTTTTAACAGCTAACTACACCTCATCAGATATCATGCTGTCTAAAGTAGCTCAAAAAAATCAAATCATGAAATCCATCTGGAAAATACTCTTAACTGCTTCACGATAGTTGGGTACACAAGTTAATTGGGTTTTGCAGGTCTTTAAATTATGATCTAAAAAACTCCTGAGCAACTTATCGCACAATTTATTAATAGAACAAGGTGTTAAATATCTGGCCAAAATAATTTGTAATTCAGAATAAATAGATGCAGAAACAGGATTGCATTTTAAATATACAGTAAAGAGAATAAAAAAAATCCTGGGCATTATGACCTACACTTTAATCCCATTTTATCACTTTTATTATTTTCTTCTAGGTACCACAATAAAGTTTTGTAAAGGTATATTTAAATATTTTAATTAATATGGTAATGTCTTGGACTTAAAATTCACTCTAAAGGTAACCATATTCAGGAAGTACTCTCACACTGGCATATCTTTATAGGCATATTTTGTGTTCAGAGTGCAAAGCACTAAAAATAGTAGTATCATGTAATAAGTTAGATATTTTAAAGACTTTCAGAATGGAAATTGAAAGAAAAAGCATGCAAGAGTGATTTTTAAATACCTACATGTCTTTCTTTTCTTTTTTAATTCTAAACTCACTATCTAGAATTAAATAAAAGGAAAGGAAATACTAATAGGGAAAAGAAGTCCAAATGAAACACCTCAAGTAGAAGATTAAGATTGTATTAAATAAGCATGGTATATATTGTCTTTCTTATTATTAATCTTGTAGGACAAAAGTTTACAGTGAAATTCAGTCCCAGTGGCATTTTTCACAGCACTAAATTTAGGATTATATCTTATGTAGCTTTGTAATTTTCATAGGTGAGGACTTTTATTAAATAAGCCAATTGTTCATTTTCTAATAGCATCATCACATCTTTGGGGAAATACTTACCCACTAGCTGAGTATAATCTATGCTCATAATATTTAAACAGCATGTTTGCCCTTTTGATTATTTGAATGAGAATGAACAAACATATATTATCAAAGAGCTTTCCCTGCTCAGGAACAAGTAGCAGCCTTAAACCACAAGGAAGAATATTTAAATTTATGTTGTGATAATGATATAAAATATTGCAACAGGATACTTAAAGAGATTATGGAATCCTCACTGAAAACTTTTAAAATAAGGCTAGACAAGTGTCTGTTTCCAGTTTGCGGTCCCTAGCTGATCTTATTGTAGAATAATAAGTATTAACTTCTCAAGGCCCCTGTCATACCTCTTGGGTTCCTTTGTTTGTTTATTAATTAATTATCTGACATAGAGTCATGCAAATCAGGAACTTGTCATATAAAACAAGAAAATAATTCACAACACATCAAAAATACTGAAAACTGAATTGAGGTAATTAGACTTAATATAACAAACTGTATCACTATATGTTAGTTAAGGTTTTTGTCTATTAATTCCCCCTAAATATGTATATGTGTACATAAACTACATCACAACTAATAACAGCTTATAAAGAACAAAATTAGTATGTTAATGCAAAAGTTAAAAGAAAATGCATAACTGGAATTAGGTAAACAGATTTAAATAATTCCATTAAGATTTGGGGATGCCACTAGTTAAATAGTGGAGAGTACACTTTTTGTCCCTGATACATAAGCTGAGATCTCAAAAATGTGATAGAAATTTGGAAAGCAAGCAATGTATACACATCTGGAAATGGACTCCATTTAGAGGTAGATCTTGGGATCCAAACTCACGACCTCCCCAGCAGGGAAGGTGCTTTTGTGACATTTCAGGTGGGATTCAGTTGCCAAGCCCAGGCACAGACACACCGAGCAGTCCAAGCCCAGGCACAGCCCTCCTTGCCTTTCGGGTGTTCTGTCTGCCTTCCGGCTGCTGCTCTGAAAAAATGCAAGTTTCCTGCAGCTTTCTGCTGTCTGTGCCAGACCCAAACATATGTATTGCAGATTTAACAGTGTCTAAACTGGTACTAAGCAGCTACTTTTCATCAGCTGACTGTCTCCCTTCATGCCCAGCCACAGATGAGAAGTTAGGTGATGAAATATGTACGGCTCAGCGCGTTCAAGTACCTAAAACTGCCAATTTTTCTTCAAAATTTACCCTAGCAAAACCAGGTTTCAAGATCTGATTCCAAGATCTTATTCCCTTGGCAGAAATTTCCAAAGGAAAAGCTATTTTGACTACATCAGCAGCTAAGAATTCTGCTTCAGAGATTTAAGGAGGAACCTGCCAGCTGCAGTAAATACTTGGAGGTTTTATCCCTTATACATGAAACAGTACATTTAGCTTTTAGTTAGTTAATTACATTTAACTACATTTATTTTCTGGCAACAACATCAATCACCAAAAATGTGTTTACTTTGCTGTTCAGGTATTTTTTAAAAGCAACTATCAGTTGAATTCTGCTTCAGTGGAGTAGAAGAAATTGCTGTGAAACAAGTCATTCCCTGAAATGTGGTCCACAGTGTCTACTTCTGAGAACTCTGCTGAGCACTGAGAACAGCATTTGGCTGAGTTAACACAACCAGTAGCAAAATGTGTTCAATAACTTGTGGCCACAGAGACCTCAAATGCAGAAACATTGATTTAGTACCATCAATACAGTTCAAAACTGAAACTAGGACACTTAGAAACTTGTTTGCCAAAGGTAACTCTTGTCTTGTTAGCAGTTTTTCTCCAAAGCTAATGTGATAAAACAGACCCCGTAGAGTCAGAACATATTTTTATGCTAAAGATGCATAAATGCCAAATCTCTCCTAAACTAAAAATCTCAAAGTGTACTCTCCATTAAATTTATTTCTGTGCCTGCCACTGGCTTCACGTGTTCCTATTTTCCCTCCTGGCGAGCTCTCTGTTTAGGAGAAGCAGATGAGCACTAAAATTCTGTACCTGCTCCCATTCCCCAGCAGCTGCAGGTGCTGACATGGCACACAGGCAGGCAATGAGCAGTGACTCTGCCATGCTCCATTTCCAATCTTCCCAGCTAGAGATGAGACTTAAGCCCTAAGTCTGAATCTCAATTTCATACTGAATAATGGGGATGTCTCAAAAGTTTGAGATTAAGCTGATACAGTGTGACATCACTGTGGGCAGAGAGGCTTTTAACTGCCTCAAAGAGGAAAAGTGCATTCAGAAGATGTTAATATTCCAAACTGATTTCTGTTTTTCAGTAATAACATAGAACAACAGGAAAAAAGAACACAAGAAAAAAGGACATATATTGCCAGTTGCAGCATTTGAGCTTTTGCACGGGGAAAAACACTATTTTGGAAATATCAGTAATTCAGTAAATGGGCCTCTGTATTCCAAATTCTACACAGAAATTATGTATTGCTATTAGCATAAAAGTAAGCCCTACCAGTTGCTGTCAATATGGTGCAGTAATAATTTCTAGAGTAAAGGAGAAGGAAGAGAAAGGCATTAAGGAAAAAATTTACATATTTATATACCTTTTATAATTAACACTTCTGTTTTACATAGAAGCTCCTCCTTCAAAAGGCATCTATTTCACTCTAAAAGAAGCATGTATGATTTTGTACCCATATGAAGTGTCATTTTATTTAATATATACTCTGTTTCTACCATTAGGGGTTTACAGGAACAAGGCAACTGGTATGTACAGAACACTTGTAATACAATGATACTTTTCAGGAGTTTAAAAATTTATATTCAGCTCCCATTGGTTTACTACTGTTACTTGGTAGTCAAACTGTAAAACAACTACACATTTACAGCTTTTTCCTTTGTCTCAACATTATCATAATGAATGCAGAGCAATGTTCTCTGATCATACAGTAATAGAATTGTTAAGGCTAGAAAAGACATTTAGGATTTTCAAGTCTAACCATCAGCCTAGCACCATTATCATGTTCATCACTAAACTATGACCTCAAAGTGCTATATTCAGTCATTTCTTGAACACTTCCAGGAAGTGTGACTCCACTGCTTCCCAAAGCAGTTTCAATGCTTTATCACCCTCTCCATTAAAACATTTTTCCTAATAACAATCTAAAGCTCTCCTGGTGCAACTTCAGACCATTTCCTCTTGTTACCTGGGAGAAGAGACCACTCCCCAAATCACTATAACCTCATTTCAAGTAGTGGTAGAGAGAAATTAGGTCTCCACTGAGCCTCCTTTTCCCCAGACCAAACAACCCCCGCTCACTCAGCTGCTCCTCACAGGATTTGTGCTCCAGCCCCTTCACTCACTTTACTGCCCTTCTCATGCCAGCAATTCAATGTCTCTCCTATAGTGATTATAAAACAAAACATAGTTGAACTTAATGGAATCAATACAACTGGGTTTTGTCATGCTTAGGTCTGTATTTTTCATTCTTTTTCAGTAGTAATTATTCTACATTATGCAGGAAAAGAAGTATGATTTTAATTGACCTTTCTGGAGGACATTACTGAAACATCTACATTGCAAATTATTAACTTCCTTATTTTTTAAACATGTGTATCTTTATGTGGCAATAATTAACATACATAAATTATAGCAAGGTTTTTATTAAAAAAACTATTCTTGTTTCAAAGTGTAACAAAAGAGGATTGAACTTGCAGAGGCAAATTCAGCTTTAGTTATGCTGCATAAAACAAAATAATGGCTGTAGTGAAAGGAAGTAAGATACTATAAAAACCTGCAGAAATGAAAGCAGAATCTATCTCTAAGCAATACACATTAGTTTTCAACATTTCCCACAATAATTCTCCTTTGTCAAAGCTATGTAACAATGTACAGGGACATCAGGAATGCAAATCACAAATAAAAGACAAACATAGAAATGAGGAATTTGACACAGATATCAATTGGGGTTTTTTCACATGCAAATGATTATGGGGCTCTCTGCCCAACCCAGGGATGCAGACGTGCAGAGCATGCAGGTAGGATGTACGGATCAAGGCGTGCACTTTTCCTCTGCAGGGGAACCATGGAGATGACAGCACAGAAGAGAAAAGGCACTTACAGTTGTTCTAGAGAGGCAAGTCCTTTAAATGCTTGCCTGTCAATTGACTGGATTTCATTCTTGTACAAATAGCTGAAACAAGAAACAATCAGTAATATTAGTACACAAACAAGAGCTACATGAAGGTGGAAAAGAAGAATTAAGTTGACACGTGAAGACAGTTTTTCAACTACATATTAGAAAAAATAATACAAATCAAAAACTAAAAACATAAAAATATTCTGTCCTTGAGATTTCATCCCAAATGACTACTAGAAAAGACAAAAGTCTCGGGCCTTAAAGGCCCTGAGGCTAAGACCCAGATGGACTTGGGCTTCTGAGTGTTCATGGCACTACTTACTGGATTTTTGTCCCTTGTTTTCTTGATTGGTTTGCCAAAAGTCAAAATAAATTCAACTCAGTGGGACAGAATTGCATTAGAAGTGCCTTTACCAGAACACACCAGGGATGGCACTGGCCTCTTGTTTTCTTTAAAATATCTCATTTGAATACTGGTGCACATATTCAAATTAGGATAGAGTGAGTCTTTTACTGGACTTGGAAAACAAACAGTGAGAAATTTCTGTAACTCCACATGAGTCACCTTTGGAATATTCACAAAAAAATACAAGTGAGAATATTGATATCACATCTGTAAAGCAGCACTGTATATTTGTTTTATCACTGTGTAGAAGATGGACATTAGGTCCCCATTGATAATCTATAATATAAACAGAATACACATGCACAGTATCAGTATGATCACATGTGCTGTCTACAACTTTTTTTACATAATTAAAATAAATCAGGGGGGATCAGTGTATGTGTTCATGTTCATCATGCTCTTAGCAACAAGGATGGTTTAGTGAGGGCGTATTGGAGAAAAATCACACAGTTTAGCTGATGACTATAGTTTCTGCATGGAGGCAGCAAATGAAAATACTTTGGGGGTTCAGCGTCAGTTGCTCTTTTTGTGTTAGGATAGGAACAGGTTTGTGGTTAAGAACTTTTTCACAATTATTTGACAAATGATTTGAAACTCAGTTAATCAGGCATGGGTTTCCATGGAAAGGGGATGAAGAGACTTTGTACCACAAATGACTTTATTAGCAGGCATCTTATTAGTAGTGGTTTTGGGTTTTCTATTATTACAGTTTTCAGTAACTTACTGGAAATATTGCAAACTTCTTTTGGTGCAACAGAAAAAATACTGGCTCTGCTGGAGGTGGTGGCAGTTTTTACACTGATGTGACAATGGGCAACATTTCACAATAGGCCCTAACAAGGAAAGAAGTTGTATGTATTTGATATTCAACCAATGACAGCTTTGGGGAACAATAAGGAGTAGTATCCTTCCTTTGAATCTAAATCAACTTTTCCAATGCACTGCTTGCTGACAATTCAACACATTACTATACAGAGATTCCTGTGTGCTTTTTTGACATAGATATGCACCTGAATAAAAAAGCAGAGTTCTTCCAAGAATAGGTAACATGGAAGTAAAAATTTCTGAGGTTTTTAAAATATTCAAAACTAAAAAAATTACTGTTATGTGAAATTACTGTAAAAACTTTGAAAATAATTTTAAAACAGTGATTTTATATGTGGAACTGGTTTTTATTCTATTTGAACAAAAAATATTTAATGAGTATTAAAATATTTGTTTTGGCTCGATTTACCAATTCATTTGAGGATCACAGTCATTACAGTTTTCTCTCCTTAATTTTCCTCTCTGATATTAAATTCCTATCTTATTTTCCCCCCGAGAATTTTAAACACACCTTTTCACTCCTTAGAAAAATTTGAGGACTGATCAGCTGAAGTGTTATTTATCTTTCTTAATACACTTAATTCCACTTGGCAGTGTGGAAATCTCTCTTATTTCTGAGTACTAAACTTCTGGTCAGACCAGAGAACCAAATGGGCTTAGACAGTTTTGAAAACTGCCCTCAGTTAATTATCTCCTTTTGGCATTTCAACAATTTTATTCAAAAATCTGAATTAATCCGATTTTTTTTAAGTTTTACCACAACCATTCATATAACTTTTATTTAGTCTCTGCAGACAGAAGAAGGAGGAGTGTGAAAACTGGAGCTGAGTTAGACTGGGATAATGGCTGCAGTACTGCAGATTTTGCCACCACACTGCAGGGAAGGGAGCAGCCTTTAGCAGTTCTTACCGAGCCACTGCAGTGAGCCTTTACTTTGTGTTTTCAGCTTTAAATGAGAGCTTTTTCCATTCTAACCAGAAAACCCTCAGCTGCAGGAAACTCAACCAACTTCAGTCAACCATATCCTCCCTCCACAGAGAAACCCCAGCAACCTCAGGTCTACATGTTCTATGACAAATGTGTTAACCAGACTTCCATTTAATTGTGTAGCTATTTCACTAAGGACAACAGAAAGAAAAACACATAATTATTTGCCTAATGGACAGAGACATGACAGAATATAAAGTACAAATAAGCATCATTCACAAAAAAAATTTGTCCTTCTAAAATTGTAGCATGCACATACAGTGTTATAGAAGTAAAAATTGTAAACACTGCTAAATTTTAACAAACATTCTCAAAATTTATTTGTTACATTATCGGAAAACAAATGTAGTACAATTATGGAAAAAAATATTTATCATTTAATTTACCTAAAAACTGAATATTAGAATTTTACAGGAGATGAATAAACAGTAGATTGAGATGAAAAAAGATATATTCTATTAAGATATTAAATTATTTTTGGACAATTAATAATATCTATTTTTAGAAATGTTTAAAAAAAAGAGCATTTTTTCCCAGAAATGCAAGCAAGGCTGCTAGAGATCAGAGGTACTGGTCATATACTTAGGAAATTAACAAATAGGTAATCAGTTACTAGAAAATTTGGGAGGAAAAAGTAATTAATTAACAAACCTGCTAGATTGTCTATGAGGATATTATTGGGAGGTTCTTTTTTTCTTTTTTTAATGGGCAATACTAAAAATCATGTGATTCAAGGAAAGTAAGATTCAGATATATTTGTCTGGAACTGAAGGGGAAAAAAAGGCAAAAAGTAACAGGTATTGCAGTGTTAAATCTCACAAGTAAATAAACATCCAATGACAGGTTTACATAGGAACATGAAGGACAGTGGAACCAGCAACATGAATTGCAAAGAAAAGAGATCTGGGACCACTGGAGGTGCCCAAAGGACCAAGTAACATGACCAAGACAGCAAGAGTGGCAGAAGGCACAGAAGGAATTGAGACCTAATCTCAAACACATAATCTACCACTATTGCTTCATTTACCAGACACAAAACAAAACTTGTATACTCCCTGTTGGCATTTCTGGAACTGATACACTTCAAACAGTCTCAATTAGCATCTACCATATGCTCATGGTAATACTTTCATGTCTGTTTCCTCGTCTATGCATTTCATACCAGGCGAACATACAATGTTGTTGACAAAGTTAATTTCATTCCCCAGTTTTATCTCTTTCACTTCCTTCATATTATCTTCTCCTTCATGTTATCTTCTGGCTCACTGCTCTGTAAATGTCTGATACATGTTCTCTTTATCTGGAAAGGTTTGTAATAGCTAACTTATATTATATATTTTTCCATATCTCCTCCTGACTTCTTCCTTTTTAACTCATCTTCATTTTTTCCATTTCTGATTCCAAATCTTCTAGTATTCTACATGTTGAAATAATAATGTGCCTACCTTCAATTCCCAACTATCTTCTCTCTTGGAGAATAAACTGTCAACTTTTAGTCTTAGGAAGAATTATCTTATCATGCTTCCACAAATTTACTTGCATCTATATTATAAGGTTGGGAAGCTTACTAAAGAGCTTTCTTGTCAAGACTGAGGTATATGGAGTAAGGATAGAAAAGCAGAGAAGCAGAAGAAAAAAAAGTACCCTCTTGTTTTTACAACAAAACAATAATTACATTTCTTTCTTTCCAACCTTTAGTATATTAATACGAAACCAAATTATTACCACAAACAGCACAGCAAAATCACACAGAACTGCTTTTATAATTGCCAGAATTTCAATTACATAAAGAACAAAATAATAAAAAGTCCTAAAAAAAGGTTAAATTATGTGCACAGCTTTCTTTTTATGATGTAAAGACCAACTTTTACAGTGATTAATTTTTTCAATGCAGAGAAAATTGAGAAAATATTACTCTCCATCAAAATGTGTTCTTCATACAGATAATTCTGGTAACATACACTCCTCATAAAACTCTAAGCTCAACTTCAGAAAGGAATAGTACAAAGAAGCATTTGGAAACCCTGGATTTAGATCCTGTTGAAAAAACTTTTTGTTTGAAAGCACAAAATCTGATATTCTGTAGTCACACAGGAATGGATCTTAACATCTAGCTCTCAGAGACTGGCTTTAAAAAAAATAAATATGCTGTGGTACACTTAATATATTTTATATAAAAATATATAATTGTGAATATTTTTACTTAGTTTTATATATGCATGTTACTAATTGTTATAGATTTTATATTTATATATATCCACATTTTGCTGAATCAGGGACACTGAGAAATGACAGGGTTTTTTTAAATCAGTCAGGGAATTATATATTTTCAGAACTACATGCAATCCAGTACAAATTGTCATAAGAACAGAAGTAACATTATAGATCAATGATCTAGTTTTATGAAACATGACAGTAAAAGTTAGGTTTGCAAATATCAACAGGACCAGTTGATACTAAATCTCAATTTTTCCAGGTGATTTGACTTTATAATAGTACATTCTGAGCAGTATTTCTAACTTTTGCACAATCTCTCCCCCCTGATTTCTACTTTAGTGTATCCTATTGGAAAGAAATGTTTTGATTTGTTCCCTTCATTTCACAGAATACAGTTAGCATTCAGTTCACTCAGCTGAAACCTTCACTGCTGAATATTATTGATTCATTACATTGAAATCTTCTGTATTGATAACCTGACCAGTACCAGAAATTTTGTAACTTTAAGGGTGCAAATTTTAAACATTTGTCACAGCCTTTGAAACAGGCAAAAAACCCTTTAGTTTATTTTTTCAAAACAAAGTATAGCTTTAAAGAGCTCTCTGCAGTTGAATAAATTACCCCATTGGACTTAATATTTAAATTTTCCAGGGAACAACAGGAAAATAAAAAGATCTTCCCCTTAACAATATAGATACTGACAGTCATTACTACATGTATATGAAAACAAATCAGAGTTCAAGCTATCTTTTTTTGTTCTTTCACCGAATACATTGTCTTGTTAAGCTTTACTTCAGTACTACACCTAGGAAAAGGCAAGCTTGTGAAGACAAAAAAGTAATAAGAATCAAGAAAAATCTTTGTACAGTTGCTGACTATGGAAAGAAGTTTAGTAAATCTCGTATAGTAAAACCTTATGTACAACACTACCAGAACCATCATGCAGAAACTCCTTGTAACAAATACAATCATCATGGACTTTAATCATTCATTGGCAACAGTCTGTTCAATATTCTTTTCCCTCCTATTGTGTAGAGGTTAAACAATTTCATTACTGAAAGACAATACACATTAAAATGAGAACAGAAAACATAAGCACAACTTGGAAAACCAGTCTGCACAAATTTATACGATTCTCTCCCTGCTCCCACCTCCTTAGAGGTCTTCTGGATGTATTCTTGAAAACTGCATGGAAAATTCAGCTTCTAAATTGTTTCCAAAGCAATGAAATCTCAATGTGACCTTATTCTTCTGCATGTCATTCAAGTAACCATCAATCAATACTCCAAGACAATGGAGTGAAACTTTTCTAAATGACACTGCATAAGGCTGTCTCCAGAAACTAGAGCTGAGAATCCATGACAACTAACTGTGCAGCTTTAGTCTATTATACACACAAAAAATAACATTTTTGATGCCTTTTGTTGATTCATATAATCAATAACTGTGGTAAAAAAAGAGAGAAGTTAGGTTTAAAATATATGCGCTTACTGAAGAACTAGAACTAACAGCAAATCATATACATACTCTGATAATCCGGGTTTGACTAAATTTTTCACTTACGAATTCAGTGAAAAATTTAGGGATAGTTAACAAGCTTAGGTAAGTTACAAGCTTCTGCAGACACCACCTTTGGACTAGCTACTTTCGAATCACTTTTCAAAAGGCAAAAAGTACCTGTTTGAAGATTTCAGTGACCCATTGAACAGGTGGTTTGCTTCACCTTTCAACGTATCCCTTTTTAAATTATAAGTTGCATATAATAAACAGTAACTAGTAAGTCCTTTAAAATGTATTCCTTACAGATAGCACTCTTTTATTTGCAACAACTTAAAGAAACACAGTGGCCCCCACTCCATAAATTAATTTCACAGTCTTTCAGTGCAGTTTATCTCCTGATATAGTCAGCCAGATAGAAATCACCATCTCAGATTAAAACACTTTCTCCCTGAAGAAGCTATTACACAGTGAAACGACATTTCATTTAACTTACAGATATTTCAGATTTTCAAGATCTTCAAATGCCCCACTAGGAATTCTTTTGATTTGATTGTTGTTTAGAAGCCTACAAAAAGAAATAAACAACTACTTATTTTAACATAAAGAAACACTAGGGGAAAAAAGTGTAAAAGCAGGGGCAATATAGTATTAAATAGAAAATGCTTTTTGCCCTAAGAGTAACTGTTAGATAAAAAAAAGGTTATGTGCTTGCAGCTGCTCAACCACTATCTTGCAGGTGAAAACCTGAAAAAATTAGAAAGAATTGTAAAAAAATAAATTTAAAAATACCCAAACCCATAAAAACAGCAACAAAGATAAACAAATAAAACCCCAAATCCAAATGAAAAACAAAAAGACCCACCTAGAAATTGAATAATGTAGTTTCTGGAAGTTATCTGTGATGCAGATGAAGGGGAGAAAAAAACCTTCTGCATCAAGTATACACATCAGTTTAAAACTGATAAAAACAAAGATTTGTCACTAGCAAGTGCATTAAAGTGACTTTTCCCAGATGTTTCCTAGCAATATCTTGTGTACTGGGCCTTGACATCATTTAGGAATACAGCTGTGTGTGTGCACAGATTTGCACTTATCCTTCATACACTGGTTTTACGAAGAGAAGGGACTTCAAACTTAATGTATCCTGTCTTTATTTGGGACTTGTGAATATCAGATCAGTGATTTGGACAGTTAAAACGCGAGCTGGATATCTGGCAGAAATTGTAATTCAGAACTGGGGATCAGCTGCAAACTAAGGTATGATCAAAGGAGACTGAAAAAAGGGACAGTTAGTAAGAATATCTTGGCAGCACAGATTTGAACATATACATTCCAGGAAAAGTCCTATCATTTCTTCTGGTGTGAATATAGAGATGTGTCAGGATATTTGTCAAGATTGCCTGCAGACAAACAGTGATCCACAGCTCACTGACATCATTACTGTATTTCAGCTCATACACTACTTGTCTTCTGGGAAACAGTCACATTTGCAATCGTAAGTTTTGTACATTTAAAAGTAAAAATAACTGTCTATCTTAATTCCTCCACATGCCTGGTAATATATTAAAGAAGAGAAACATGCATGCATTTGTTTTAAAAGTGATGCCTGAAGGAATGATAGAAGAGATACAAAGTTAAAATTATAATACTCAAACTAATTGTATTAGTGGCTGTAAAAGGTCTTTTAGAAAGACTTTTCTTCACAATCGTAAAAAACAAAGACCTCCGTAAAAGGCAGCTCAGTAGGAACCAAACCATCTGACTCCTGTCAGTCCTGGTAAGCACATTAGATTAGGAAACTTCAGAATATTAGAATTTGTCAAACATTTTGTAACTGTAACACCTTTGCACATCTCAGCCTTCGAACAGCTTTCTTGTAACCCCATGGTTTATTACGTGATATTCCAGCAAAACAATTTAGCACCACGTCAAAAAAAAATCTTATAATAATGGTCTGCATTTTTTCATGAAATTCAATTAAAGTGTATCAGTAAAATATTAGTATGCAAATAATTTTCTTTTTATTTTGATAAACATACAAGTGGTTTTGCCTTCAAATATTTTGGTCCTAACCCCCACTTCTCTCATCTGTGTAAATGCTACAGCTTCAATTTATGACACCACTTACCTGTGAAAAGTGAGCAAATATGACACATTATCAAACTGATCATATTAAGTCAAAAGGGAAAGGCTCTTAGAGTTGAAAAAGAACTTACAGTGTGTTCAGGTTTTTAAGCCGTCTAAACTCTCCAGGCTGGATTTCTTTAATCCTATTAAATCTTAGGTCTCTGTAGAATTAAAAAAAAAAATATATTATTAAAAAAATCTATGTATTTTTTCATATGAAATAATGAATTAAGCACAAGTCTTTTGTGATAACTGACCAGCCTCTGTCCATAAAACACAACTTTTGACCAAAGCAAAACAAATCCAAAGGCTGTTTGACAAGTTTAGGAGAGGATTCACCAAATCTAGCCTCAGTGATCAGCTGAAGGCTGTATATCTAAGTTAAATCTGTGGTCTTGAAGTATGTTCTCTTCCACAGTGAAGCAGCTTGTAATGGGTTGTTCAGTATTTCACTAAATTGAATTGTCCCTGTATTTTAAAAGCTGTTTTAAATAATACTGTATAACAAAAATGCTTGTATATAATTAAACAGATATAGAAACATTTGCAACAGGAAAAAAAAAACAGGAAAAAGAAGAGACAAGTTAAGACTTTTAAGCTACTCATTCTTTAGCTCTGAGTAAGGAGGCTTAAGTGCCCTATGTTGTCTTGCTTTTAAAACATGTAAACTCAGCTGCCTGAAGCTAGACATTTCCGTATTTAATTTTACTTTCTCTTATTTATTTCTATGTTTCTACCACCTGTTTCCTGTTAGCTCTATAGCTTAATGAGAAGTTCTCCAACAAGAAGGAAATCTATTTCTCAAGCAAAATTCTGCAGAGAAAGCAGAGACAGGGAGCAAGCTGGAAGTGGAGCAGGGATGTGGGGAAACACCTTGGCTGTGCCAGTGTCACCCCTCTCTTCTGCTGAGAGCAGGCAACAGGGCTTCCCACCTCTGCCACCTCCTGCTCTCCCCTGACTCCATGTCTGGCTACTGTATTCCAGCACCTCAAAATTGGTTTAAGCAACTGGTCAGAAGCAGCAAAAAATCCATGCAAAAGAACCCAAAACAACCAGGAAATAATTTTCTGCCTGATAAGCAAAATGGACAGGCTTCTTGGGAGAGGTGAGAGGAGGACTGCAGGACCAGGGGAAAGGAAACAGGGTGATAAGTCTGTCCTCTTCCCTAGCAACAGACCAAGGACACCAGGACCTTATAGTGTCTGGTAAGCAAACAAAAGGCAAGCAAATGGAAAGTAAGTAAAATCTAAGACTGTGATCACAAATCTTAGAACACACACTTACCAACTGCTTTCAAAAAGTAGGACATAAACACGTCAAAACTGCAATCTTTGCACCATGCCTGGTTTCAGTTAAAACAAATACACTCTGCATTTTAACAGGTAAAATGTGAACAAAAGCCTCTCTGCAATTTGGTCAAAGGAAATACAGAAGAGCAGACAAAACATCAGCTGCATCCTAATCCCATACAGCCCCACTGGCTGAGGCTGCATTAGTGACAGGTATAGTTGTCTAAAGCCTTTTATGAAGGACATACTTAAGCATCACTTCTCATGAATCCACCCACCAGGACTTATTCAGCTCTGGAATAATGGCCTCAGAAGGACTTTTTCTACATTAGTGATTTAGGATGTGGCCTACTGTTCATGGCAAGGAAAGGGTTAGACATGTGGTTCTGTTTGCATTACACTCCACCAAAATATTTGATCGGTGACTGGAATAAATGGGGGATGCAAACTTCTGCCTCTTATTTAGATGTGTAGTTAAACTGCCTGTAGATGTGCTGGACAGCCCCTTGACACAACACTCAGTGAATTGAGGATTTCCAGATTTGGAAGCACAAATTTTCAAAGCTCTAACTTGTTCTTCACAAAACCACTTCTTCAGTTCTACTTTAAGAGCATTATGTTTTGCTCATCAGATGTTTTATGTCATACATATATGCTCCTGATGAGAAGGAGACGCTGCCTCTGAACCTCAGGTGCCAAGATATTCTGAACAATCATGGAATGTCATACCCTGCACTGAGAGAAGATACAGCAGATCCCTCTGAAAGAATCATTGGACATGACATACCACTTTACTTTTCCTGATTTTTCTAGATTATCTGAAAGTTTACTGTATTCCAAAGGACCCTTTTAGTTTTGATTAAAATATTCAAAAGTGCAAAAATTCAATATTCTTGAATGGAATATTGGAAACTGAGTATTTTTCAAAAGCCTCAAACTACCATTACAACTAGCAATATTTAGCTCCTAAAACCCTTTTTTTAAGATATAAAATAATGTAAATTAATCCATATGACAGGCAGACCTATTCCCTACATCGGCACAAAGACAACAAATAAAAATTTAACTTTTATGAACACAAGCAAGGAGCCAGAGCACTGGGTCAGCAGCAAAATGAACCCCATTTTGATGTATCCAATCTACTCTGCAGTAACTCATGAGGATAACTGGGGATTAGGAGCACCAAGCAAAGTAATTACATGCAGTACCAAGCTGCATGTAATATCATATATAGTGGTATTTATCTCAACTCCTAACACTATTGCCCTTCTCATATGAAGTCGCTAAAGCTAAAGAACACATCAAGTTTGAAATTCTACCCATTCATTTTCATTCTACACAAAGATATGGGAAAAAGGAGCTGCAATAAAGCACAACACACAAATTTTCTGTAGAGCACAGTATATTTTGTATCTGTAAGAAAAATTATAAAGAATATATATGTTTTGTTCAAAGTCAGTACTAGAATTATATTAAAAGTGGAGAGAAAAAAACAATGTTAATCTTACTAAAATGTAGGATTATATCTTGGTCCTTTCCTTCTTCAAAGGAAATAACATTTCTCACTGTTCACTTAAACTATTTTCATTAATTTTCAGCACAAAATCCCCCTAATATAAAGAGTTAAACGGCTCACAAATTAAGAAGGTAAAACTTAAATCATAACCACTGAAGATTTCTAAAGAAGAAATCTGTCAAACTGTGATATGTTCAGTATACAACAAGATAATAAACAAGCAGATAAAGGAAATAGAATTTACATTGCATGCATTAGTTTAGGGGGTGTGGTATATATCATTCACATAAACAAGAGGAAATCTCTGTAAACCAAGTGTTCAACTGCTAGGGGAAAAGATATGCAAGACTAGTTATTGAAGTGAAAGATTGCATCCAACAGAATTGGCAGAAATCAGATTTAGTAGAAGAAAAAAAAAGCAAAAAACTTCATTCACTGCTGTCATACCATCATAGGAAAAAAAACCCCAAACCCATTCCATACTAAACAGAAGCTCCATTTCTCAGGCTTGAAATGTCATGCTCCCATAGCACAGACAGCATATCCAGCTTATGATAACAGAATGATTTCAGGGAACAGAAGAGCTCAGAGCAAAAGCCCAACAGCAATTCGAAACATCCCCTTGGAGAGTGAATGGCAGGAATGAGGACTGTGTTAAAACTGAAAAATGAGTATGGGTAGCACAAATAGGCCATTATGGAGCAGACCTTCAAAGGCATTTTGTGTTGCTGAAATAATGTGTGGTCAATCAGCATGATGATGTTTCTTGACCCTTTTTTTCTGACTAGTTCCGGCCCAATTGTGCCACATGACTTTCACTCACAAAAGCCTGTTCCCTGCCCATTCAACTCTCTTTCACCTTTTTTGCTGCTCCCCATTTCACTCTTACAAACTGGCATATCCTGGCTGGATGCTGTGCTTTGGACCAGAGCAAGCCTGACTCCCACTGACCAGCCAGAGTGCACCACGAGGTTAAAACAGCAGACTGAGGGAAGCCACTCAATTGTCGACTGCCATTTTTCCCTCTCCTAATCTCTAAACAGTAAATGAAATGACCAACTAAAGAAATGCAAACTCCCGTGTTGATGGCATTGAATTTTAGGGTATTTAATAACTTTTGCATAACAATTCAAAGATAAATGTCATGCATTTGGTTTTTTAAATAAAAACCTATTATACATAATACAGATTGTCTCTTTTATTGAGTGTTTCAAAGTGAAAACATTTACTTCTTAAAATTGCAGCTAAACATAATTCATAACAATTCAAAGATAAATGTCATGCATTTGGTTTTTAAAATAAAAATCTATTATACCTAATAGAGATTGTCTCTTTTATTACGTGTTTCAAAGTGAAAATATTCTTAAAATTGCAGCTAGACAACGTAATCCAAGTTGAAAAATCCACTTCAGCTGCACAGGCTTCCACAGAAGCTAAGCCCATCATTTTGAAGCACATCTTGCCTCAATAACATGAACAAAACATGTCCATGATAGCCAGTAAACTGAACACTCTCCAGGGTTATTTTCCTGGCTGCGCTCAGGAGCTCCGTTCTGCGCTAATCCATGGAGCATGACCAGGAAATGTTCGGCAGAGCGCGAGGCTGCGTGGGCCAAGAACGTGCCAGGGAGCAGGCGGTCAATTTAGCAATTGGATGCCCTTGAGATTCACATTCCAGCGCCTTGGAATGGCCGTGGTCCCACAGCCCTGCAAGCAGCCATGGCCAGCAGGACGTGTGCCAGGCAGGGTGTGCACACACACGGGCTCTGCCGGCTTCCTGTGGTCCGCTACCTGAACAGGGCTCTGGGAAGATCTGTAAGGACCAGATGTACGGCATGTAAATAAATACAATATTTATATATGTTTCCTTTTCTGTCACAAAGCAAATGAGAAATGTGCTGCAGACGCTTTGTCTGGATGAAAATGAGTCCTGTTCTTAATAAATTCTTTATTTGAACTAAAAGCATCCATTTGTTTCCCCTCTTTACACTGCCCATTTTTAACTATTTCTAATTTAGCATTGAAAATTAACTTTTAACAATATTTTTATTTAATTAAACACAGTGAAAATTTCTAAGTATATAAAAATTAAAAACCATTACTGTCTCATAAGATCCAACGCTTCTGTGGCATGTGCTGGCACTGCAGGACATTCTTCAAAGCTTGCACTGGCAGTGTGCAGTAATGAAAGATAGGGTTTCTCTCTTAAAACATCCTGATGGGGTATGGCAACATTGGGCCACATTAAATCATTGCAAGTTTACAAAATAACACTTTATAAACACTAAAGATCTTAATAAATATTTGGATATATGACAGTCATACAGGGTACACAGCAAACAATACAAAATTGACC